TCACTCATGCTGGAGCCCACTTGGATCTCTCAGCGTTTTCCTCTTGGGAAGTAGGTATTCAGTGCTGTGCACCTGCTTCTAAATTTTGGGCAGATGGGAGCTTAACCATTTGGTTTCTTTCCATCATCTTTCTTGTTTTTGGCTCTGTACTCTCTGGATGAAACTTTGGTTATGCTGATGATTTAATTTCTCCCACTAGAGGGCTGCAACTTGAAAGGTCTATTGAGATTTGGCACATTCCTCATTTTTTCAGCAAGGAGTGGCACACACTTGACAGTCATTTCTTTAGTGCTGTTCATATTCCTTCTTCCTCTTTTTTTTTTTTTTTTTTTTAATGAGACATACAGCCATATTATTTATATTTTCATAGCTTATCTTACTGTGATTTGCTGTATTGAATAGGAATTGGCCTCCTTAGGACTGGACAGACTAAAATCAGCATTACTGGCACTGGGACTGAAATGTGGCGGGTAAGATGCACTCTTTTCCTAATTCTTTTTCAGTTTTTGAGGTCTTTCCACCTTGCATTCCTTTATGGGATATTTGTTTGGTTTCTCTACTGTACAAGAATTACTTTAATGATGTTCAACATGTTGAAAACCAATCAGGAAATTCTGTGATCTACAGTTTTGAAAAGTATGCTGTACTGAAGTCTCTTTTGTAGAAGAATTTGGTCTAAAAAACGAAGACAATGATCATAGAAAATCACTTCATCTCTTAAAAGCTGAATTTATGATGTTGTTGCATGAATTCAAATAATATTTTGGAAATAGAAAAACTGTGATCTGAATTCATCTCCTCCCTGTTTCTCTACAGGACTCTGGAAGAGCGTGCTCAGAGACTTTTTAGTACTAAAGGCAAATCCCTGGAAGCACTCGATCCTTCCTTGTTTGCTAAGAATCCAAAGACAAAGGGAATCAAAAGGTGAGTTCTTAAAGGTCATTCTCATGTCGGTGCTGGTCCCATCACTGGGATATAAACATCACCACTATATAGTTGTGTTAGATTCCCAGAGTGTTGGAATCCTTTTATGTTGGTCCTGAACCAAATGTAAGATATCAGAGCTGAATAGTTTGCATGCAGTTTAGTTTATGTGGGCTGTTTCTCTTCTCTTGCTGCACACAAGTCAAACATGTCCTTAGGAGTTCCATATGTTTGGTGCTTGCAGTTCTGGAATGGACTTAGTGAAATTTCCTTATCTGTTTTCAGAGACACTGAAAGAAATAAAGATCTTGCATTCCTGGAAGCTCAGATATATGAATATGTAGAAGTTCTTGGGGTAAGAATTTTATTTTGTCATTGAGCTTTTGGTTACAGACTTGTCCAGCAGTGACCAGAAGATCATTCTTGTCTTTACGCAGTGTCTTCATAGACTGTGTGTCCAGAAGAATTGGTTTTCTTTCCAGAAGTTTATATGTTCCTGTGGGGAAACATGCCTGCCTTTATTTCTTTCTTATTCCTCCTTAATGCTTGCCTTAAATCCTTTCTTCAGTTTGGAGTATAGTGGTAGCTGCCATTGGCTTGCCATCTTATTTTGTTGCTGTTGTGTTGTGTGAACAGTACCTTCTATTTTCTCACACTCTAGGAACAGAGACACCTTACTCATGAGAATGTGCAACGTAAGCAAGCACGGACAGGGGAAGAGAGGGAGGAGGAGGAAGAAGAGCAGATCAGTGAGAGTGAGAGTGAAGATGAAGAAAATGAAATCATTTATAATCCTAAAAATCTGCCTCTTGGTTGGGATGGCAAGGTAACTGAGTCTGTTACGTCTGGATTTAGCTCTGAACAAGTGGGGGATTCCACTTAACTCCTTGCTTCTCTTCTGTTTGAACCTCCCTTGTCACTTGGCCTAATCTTTCTTTGTATTCCTTTCTCAGCCAATCCCGTACTGGTTATATAAATTACATGGTTTAAACATCAACTACAACTGTGAGATTTGTGGTAACTACACCTACCGAGGGCCCAAAGCTTTTCAACGCCATTTTGCAGTAAGTAAGGTTTTGTCACAAGAACCATCAGTGCCACATTCAGATAATCTTTGTAATAAATAATGAATAAATGACACGAGCATCCGAGTGGCATTTCTTCCACTTACAAAATGTGTCTGCACTGATGCTGCAAAGCCATGCTATTGAAACTGGAAATTATCCAGAGCATATGAAGATCTGTTCTGCCAATTTATGTCCAGTCTTCTCTTGTTTGAACACTGATATGCAGCCTTGATTAATGCAGAGCACTGTCAGTGTCTTGTTACCATCAGAAAAAAAATGTTTGGGAGATTTGTGTCTTGTTAGTATTTGTTTTATACTGTTTAGTTTATAATAGGTCTTCTAATAGGCATTGTGGGTGAGGTGGCATTCCCTCTCAGTGACTTTTGCCTCTTGTTCCCAGGAGTGGCGTCACGCTCATGGAATGAGATGCCTGGGCATCCCCAACACTGCACATTTTGCCAATGTCACACAGATTGAGGATGCTGTCTCACGTAAGTCTTGATGGCATTTCTTTGCACAGAACTGGGAATGTGCTACGAGAACGTTGGTATTTGCTAGCTCTGGCCAAGAATTTTATTACCCCATGACTGGTGACTAATTTAAGGAAGGAGTGTAAGAAGCATGATGCTGGTGGGATTACCCTTCATTGAACATCTCTCACAGCTCTTAGAGGGAGGATGTCTTTGTTTCTTGTTGAATGCCTGCAGAAGTAGATGTTTGCTAGGAATGCCAGCCAAGTGTCTGTTTGTTGCCAGCTATTTTGTCTGCAGTGTTTTATGTATGGAATCTCAGCCAAGTGTAGCAGGCCACCATTTATTCAGAGTGTGACTGTGTGATCCCATGCAACTGTTACTTAATTGATACTCATCACAATCTCCATGGGGAAGCCAGCAAAACATTCAGAAATGGTGGAGCCTCTAGGGAGATTTTGAAAGCCTGCAGTACTTAGTGAAAGGCACAGGAGTGACAGTGGTTGGGGTTTATTTTATTGTTTTATTTTAAAAGCTGATGTATTTTAGTAGTTTAAAACCCAGTATTTGAAGCGAAATGGTGTTCATATTGTGAATGCCTTTGTATTTACAGTGTGGGCAAAGCTGAAACTACAGAAGGCTTCAGAGAGGTGGCAGCCTGATACAGAGGTAAGATGGTAGAAGCACTGGGATGTTTCTAGTCCAATGTACTTGGGAGTCTTCATCTACCTTGCATGAAGTGGCTCTGGCTGGAGAGTTTCTAACAAGCTGTATCACAGGCTGAAGTCTCCAGTGCACTTCAGAGCCTTCTGTAATTATTCTGAGTCTAGATAAGATCTTACTGAGCTTGCTGGTAGATCCTCTGCATATCTTCATGTAGAGAGGCTCCTGACAGAGTGGCTGTGCTCAGATGCAACTGGAGCTAAACTGTGTATGCTGTAACACAACCTGAGTCAGGCTGCATGCAGGTGTCTCTAAACTGTTCATTCCACTCTAGGAGGAATATGAGGACTCCAGTGGGAATGTGGTGAATAAAAAGACCTACGAAGACTTGAAACGTCAGGGGCTGCTGTAACTTTTGCCAGGTGAAGGATTTCACATCAGAAAAAAAATGGAGAAGTGTCACCAGCTCCAGTTCTTCAGTTTATTGATTTTTCTATTTGCATGAACATAGGATACTTTATAGAATCACTTTCTAGTAAGCCCTTTGTGAAAAGCAGTCTTGTGATTGTGTTATTTTATATTAAAAAAAAAAAAAACAACTTAAAAATAAATTGATTTTAACTTAGGAAGTGCTGAAAGTGCGTCTCCTTTTGTATGCTGGAAGGAGGAGATTTGATAATGGTATTTTTCAGAAACTTTCTACATGGTTTGAATTGTTAGAGACAATTACTTCTCTCTTATTCCAGTGCTGATGGAAGTTTTTATGGTGAGGACTGCCTTCTTTAAAGCCCATACGAACATTGCATGCTGACAATCTTGTACTATATAATAGTTTAATGTCTTTCTTTGTGCTCCTTTGCAGAGCAGATATTTGGCTTGCATTGCTGCTTTGGCTTCAAGTTCTGGCTTCCTGTGAAGCTTTGGCTACTGGGATTTTTTTCAGGGGACAAATAAATGACCTTTGTTTAGGATGGGCTGCCGTGTGGGTAGTTTGTGTTAGTTTGTCCAGCACTGGCATTGACTTTGCTAGATACTAGCACAAATCCTTCCTTTGGTTCTCTTGGACTGTGGTACTGCCACATGAATTAAAATCCTGTGAGGAGAAAAGAGGCATTGGACAGAGGCCTTGTGCTTTGTGGCAGCCCTGCCTACAGTGGGCTTTCGTTTTGGTATAGATGTTCTGGTGTGACATCTCTAGCCTTAAAAATCCCTTTCTCTGTTTTCACTGCACAAATACATTTGCATCTCCAAATCCAGCAGAGCTGCAGGTAACAAACCCTTCTCCCTGGGTGACAGTTTGCGCAGCTGGTGGTTGGCAGGGTGGGGCTGCTCACTGGCTCCAGGGTGTGAGCTGTGCTGCAGGTGCTGCAGCTGCTCGGTGCTCAGAGGTTCTCCATCTCTTGCAGCAGCTGCAGGCTTCCTCTGGTGCGCAGGGGCTTTCAGGGCACGGACACACAGGGTGAGTCTGTGAACAGGTTCTTTTCCCTGCTTGGGAGGAGAAACTTGTTTCAGGGTGAGCCTTTTCTGGTTTGTTCTTAGACTGTTCTGGAGGTGAGCCTGGCTGTGCTGGAGCTGTACCCTCCTCTGTTAGGGCTCTTCTAACCTGCTCTGGGTGGGGGGGCTGCCCTGCTCTGGGAGGTGAGAAACTCCAGCCTGTATTGTTTTCTGTCATCCTGAAAGAGTGCCCTAGGAATGCTATCTGAGCTTAAATCCTAAGGCAGAAGGGGAGTATTTGGAAAACAGCCTTGGAGCCTGTTTGGAGTTACCTCCACTGTTTTCTTATTTAAACTGGCAAAGATTTTGCAAGGAAAATGTCTGCTTTCATTCAATGGAGAGTAGTGTATCTCAGGAAACACCAGAGGAGGTAGAAATTCCCCACCCACGATGTGAGCAGTGCAGGGATCAGTGTTGGAAGCAATTCTGAATCCAGACAACTGGATTCAGAATTCCATGCAACGGGGATGTGTGTGCCACCATCCTGAGCTGGGCAGCTTCTTCATTTACAAGCATCAGCAGTTTGCTGTGTGTGGTGCCAAGCTGGCACTGCTCAGAGCTCTGTGTTACACGAGGATGGAGGGTTTCCACACCAACAGCAGCACATGGCCTCCCAGGGGGCTCCTGTTTGGCAGGGCTGGGCTGAGCCCATGGGGAGAAGTGCTCTCAGGGTTCCTCAGCCTGCTGCTGCAACCGAGAGTGGAAGGGCCTGGCTCTTGGACCCTGATGCCAGACCAGAAGGATAACTTCTGGGTGATGAGCTGGTTCTGATTGCCCAGTTCTGATTGCATCTGTTTGCCAGGTCCCAGCTGAGGTTGCTGGCGGGGACGATGGCAGCTCACCAACAGCTCCTCCCTGCTCAAGGTAATGGGTGCTCTGAGCAGCGTCCATCCCAGAGCTGGTACCCCACAGCCTGCACGGATCCTTGCTCTCCCAGGGAGGCTGCCAGAACTGAACTTGGCCTTTGATGGTCCCAGTTTTCTCTGCTCTGTTTCAGGCCTGCTGCTCTGTGTCTTGGCTCTGCACTTCTGCACCCAGGGCCCTCTTGCCATAGCAGGTGAGTGCACAGGAGAGGATCCTCTTGGGAACGGGGCAAAGGCAACTTGGTGTGATGGGACAATGTCACTGTCCCCTCTTGGCTGTAAGCTATCAGACAGAGCTGTGCTCAAGAAACTTTTCTTGAGGTTTTGACTCCAGAAATGGCTGTACCTCCTATGCAGTGTGCCTTAAAGGGGAAGGGTGAAGCTGCTGTAACATTGCCATAGTCAGTGATTATCTCTGACCTGCTGGGCAGGCTCCTCACTGCTGGTTGCAAACGGGTCTTTGTTCTTGTTCAGGATAGGGAACCACAGAGCTCGTTAAGCACATGGATGCTGTTTCCTTCACCAAGGGGGAACTTTGTGTTTTTCAGGGCGCAAAGTGGTCAACATGTCCATAGCCGCCAACCACGCCTCGGTGGCTGCCACCAAAGCTTCTGTGGCCACAAAGCAGGCCTTGGTGACTGCTGCCAACAGCTCAGTGGTCGTCTCCAACCAGGCATTGGTGGCCACCAAGCAGACCTCAGTGGCTACAACCAATGCCTCAATGGCCACCTCCAACCAGGCACTGGTGGCCGCCAAGCAGGCCTCAGTGGCCACCTCCAACCAGGCATTGGTGGCCACCAAGCAGACCTCAGTGGCTACCACCAGTGCCTCGGTGGCCACCTCCAACCAGGCACTGGTGGCCGCCAAGCAGGCCTCAGTGGCCATCTTCAACCAGGCATTGGTGGCCACCAAGCAGACCTCAGTGGCTACAACGAGTGCCTCAGTGGCTGCCTCCAACCAAGCATCAGTGGCCACCAAGCAGACCTTGATGTCTGTCACCAGTGCCTCAGTGGCCACCTCCAACCAAGCACTGGTGGCCATCAAGCAGACCTCAGTGGCTACCACCAATGCCTCAATGGCTGCCTCCAACCACACCTCAATGACCACCACCACCTCGGTGACCATCAGCCAGGCTTCAGTGGCTGCCAACGCCTCCATGAACCATACAGAACAAATCCTGGTAAGGAGAGGGAAGGGGGCTGCTGGCCATGCAGAAGCTCTGCTGCGCTGTGACCCCTGGCACGTCCTCCCCCCAGCTCAGCTGTCAGAGCTTCCAGTGCTTCGGGGAGAGGTGTTACCAGGATGAGGTCCACAGCAACACGACGGCCACCTGCCACAATGAGACCTTCTGCGAGGTACGGAGCTTATGGTGGCTGCTGGGGGCTGTGAGCACAACACCTGATTTTCCTTTGCCTCTCTCACAGTCTGTCCATTATTTTCGCTCCTCTGTAACGGCCTCTCTTCACACTTCTAGTTTTTTGTTTGTTTGTTTTTCCTTTGGTTCTGCTGTTGCAGCTTTATCGTTTCTCCAGCACGAACTACACTGCGAGGTGCAGCAGTGTGTGCAGTGCAGAGCTGTGCAGGACCAATGGCAGCATGATCCTACAACAGTGCACCATGGAGTGCTGCAACACCTCACTCTGCCTGCAGCTCAGTGCAAGTTCCTATGGTAACTGCTCCATGGTTTATCCCACTGCATGTGAGAGAAATGGGTGTGCAGACCCATCATGCTGGGCTGGCTGCATCACTGCAGTTCCTCTGCCCCATGGAGGCTGCACATGGGCTGTGTCCTCAGGGCTCCTCTGTGCCCACAGGTGATCTTCCCTCCACCACCGTGCCACCCACAACCACCATCACCACCACCACGACCCCACGGCCCCCCCCACGAAATGTAGGTACCCGATGTGATCTTTGTGCAAAAGCTGCCTCAAAAGGGGAACAAATCCTTAATGAGCTTTGCAAGGACAGAGATGTAAGGGTGCTAAGCACACCATCTGCATTGCCCCAAGCAGCCCGAGCTGGCTGTGGGACAAAGTCTCCTCGAGCCACAGAAGGGGTGGGGTGGTGCTGGGGCACCCAAGTGATGGGCTGGAAGGAGCTTTATCTCTGCACAGCTCACTGAGAGGAAGGAAAAGGAGGTTTGAAACTTGTGGTGGTGTTGCAGTGAGGTTTCCTGCAGTGGCAGATGGGAGCTGTCTCATATCTCTGAGTGTGAAATGCTGCAGAGAGATGATGGCAAATACTGAGATGCAGTGGAGGTTTGGGAGGGCACTGTGGAAGGAAGGGCTGCCCGAGGTCCAGATCTGGCCCTGGGCATCCTGCTGCCTGCACCAGGCCTGCACAGGTCTCCTCTGCTCTTGTCTTGCAGGGAAAAATCTGCGCAGCATTCTCCTGCCATGGGGATGGATGTTTCAAAGGCAAGAAGAGCACAACTAGATGCTTTGTTGGGCACGATTTCTGCGAGGTATGGCTGGGACAGGACAGGTGGGATGTGCTGCAGTCCGTGTGCATCCCCTCAATGCAAATGCCAGAGGCTGAGCAGGACCAGCAGATGAATCTCTCTCCTCCTTTCAGATGAAGAAGACGGGCTTCAATTACGTGGCAGGATGCAGCAAAGCCTGCAAGGCTGCCAAGCCTGTCTGTGCCCAGGGGGTGAAGGCTGCCTGCTTCCAGGAGTGCTGCCCTGCCACCATCAAGGGCAGCTGCCTGAAGCTGGATGGCAAAGTTCATGTGAATGATGCTGGGCAGGTGGCTGCATCCCCACTGCTGCAGCTCCTGGTGTGGGGGGCAGCCCTCCTCCTGAGCTGCAAGGCCTCCACTCCCCTCCACGGGTAAACAGCAGACCTGCAGCCTTTCCCCTCCTTGATTTCAGCTGAGGTCACTATCAAACACCCTCTGTTGCATCCCCATGCTTGTAGATCCCTGGAGTTTGTAGATGGTGACTTCTCCCCCCATGCAGGTGATCCCTACTACACATCATCTCCAGGAGCTGTGAGCTGCAGCACTGCACCTCTGTGCTGCAGGGATGCTGGATGCTGGAAGGAGAGACCTCAGGTATAGGAGTGGGAGGGTGCTGAGCCAGCTTGGAACCCAGGAACCTCTGCCTTGACCCAAGGCACAGCTTACACAATGTAGTTACGTGTTTGCAGTACAGCTGTCTGAACACCCACTTGTTTCTAAATAATACCTCCTCTCCTAGAAGGCTGTACTGTTTTGTCTCCAGATCTTAGGCAGAGAAATGGGGCTAAGCTGGAAGCATCATGTTAGACCATCCTGTTTCATATCTATGAATCTCTATGGGTAAAAGTAGAGCAGAGACACAAGCATGAGTCTGTAACAGGAGCTGGCCCTAGTGCTCCCAGCCTGCTCCTGCCTCACAGGCAGCTGGTAATGGCTCTGTGGTGCCACTGTGCAAACACACTCTGTCCTCTTCCTGTTCTCTTTTAAGAAAATAATAGAATAATAATAATAATAAAGAAGCATCAGTCTCTTGAGTTGATGTCAGGCTGCTTTGGGCACAGCTCAGCTCGATGGATGTGATGGGAAGGGGATCCCAGCCATAGGGCTGTGCTGGGACAGCAGCAGGAAGGATGTATTGCTGGGAGCTCCATGCAGTGGATGTGGGGCTGAGGGCAGGCAGTGTGCATCCATCACCGGCCTTTCCACGCTGCAGTGATGCTGCACCAAAGCCTTGGCATGGGCTGAGGCATGTTGTCACATCAGTGTATCAGCAGAAAGCAACAACGGGATGGAGCTCTAAGCTATTTCTGTTTCAGAACCGACTCGCAGCACCACGTTTCTCGTAAGAGTGCTCTGGAGTTTGTAGCAGATATTTCTCACTGTTCTCCTTTCATTTCCTCTTTGCAGTCTTTCATCTGCTCAGCACCATTGCTGAGAAGGAGCAGAAAGCATGGGCTGCTGATTTTTCCATATCTGCCCAACTTTTGCTGTTACTTTTACAGCAGTGGAAAGAGCTGACGCACACCGAACTCCTCTGTTTGGCACGTCGGCATCTGCTGACATTTCCCAGCACCTGCTTACGCCCTCTGCACCATTTATTTGCATAATTAAAGCTCGGAAGTCAGCTGGGTCACGACATTTAACAAAACATTCCAGGTGCTGCCGCAAAAAAGAGCCCCTCCTGATAGCAATAGGAAGTTAGCGGCTCTGCATTGCCGCAGGCCCGGCTCTGTACACGCAATACCCTCAGCCTGAGGACGCTCCGTGCCCCCCCTCGCCCGTACTCCGCTACTGCTCAGCCTTTCTCGCTGCCCTCCCGGCTCTCCGCCCCATTAACCCAGCAGCATCCCGTTTAAAAATCCTTCCCGGTCCCCATCCAGCGGAGAGGGAAATGATGCTCGGTCGCTTCCTGGCGCTTTGCGAGCCTCTGTCCGGGCGGAGGGCGGCGGTTCCGGCCGCGGTGAGGAGCCCCAGCAGCGGCTACCGAAGCCCGGAGAACCTCGCGGGGCCGCACCGGCGCAGCTCCATCCCTGCGGCCGGAGCCGAAGGGTTAACGGAGCCCTGGGGCAGGCCGGGAGAGCGGGGCGGGGAGAGGGGCGACAGGGAGGCGGCGGCTCCCGGTAACGGCGGCACCGAGCGCGGCCGCATCGCGGTCCCGACCCCCATCCCCGTCCCGACCCCCCATCTCTATCCCCCGAGCTCCTCGCTGACCTCCGGCCCCCACCCCGCGGGCACGGAGGATGGACCAGTCGGTGGCCATCCAGGAGACTCTTCTCGATGGGGCGACGTGTCGAATCATATCCTTTGCCCTGTGCGCGTCCAGGGAAGGGATGGCGAGTTCGCTCTTTTTCTCCTCCCTTTCTGACCCCTCGACTCCCAACTCTGTTTGCCGTTCCTTGACCCACACCGCAAGCCGTGCAAGGAACCGTGGCTGCGGGGCAAAGCGTGGAGAGCCGGCTGCTGGGCCTGGTGGAGCGCGGCGGGCAGCACGCGTGGGTGCCGAGATGGGGCAAACCGGGCTTGTGCTTGGGAGGGGAGGGCTTTGTGTGGGGTGGGGTCTGCCCGGACCGAGGCATTCCCTCCAGCCTCTGCTCCGTGTTTGCAGGATCTACGTGTACACCCACCGGCGGATGGCCATCACTGCGGAGGACGTCTGGCTGGAGAAGGTTATCCCCATCGCAGAGGGGTTTGCAGTGGAAGAAGGTATTCACACGCTTTGGGGCTCAGTGGCCACCTCCAAAAGAAGGGATGGAGGGGTGCGGAGTCTGTATTTTGTTGTTTACTTGCTGTGATCTACTCAGCCCATCGTGTTTTCTCATCAGTTTGTGATCTCTGGTGAAGCTGATGCATCTTATGGCATAGCTGAAGGGCTCTGCTTTATCAATCCTTTTGCAATCCGGAGCAGCACCTTGGTGCAGCTCCTGTAGGGCTGCACTACACACTCCTGTGCCTTCAGGGAGCAGATAGAAGGCTGTGCTCAGTAATCCAACCTCGAAGTGTTAAATCAAACGCTACAATCCTGTGACTCAGCTTTGTAACAGAACTTTCTTTTCTGTTTGCAGTGATACCTGATGGTGACCTTCATGTCATTGGTGAGTTTTCATATTGCTGTTATGCCTGTGCTGCTGCAGCCGCTGAATGAATCATAGAATCACAGAATGGTTTGAGTTGAAAGGGACCCTTAAAGGCCATCTGGTCCAACTCCCCTGTGGTAACTGAGGACACCCACAGCCCAGCAAGCCTTCTCCTGGTCTGTTGTCACCAGCCTGGCTTTATTGCTCATTAAAGGATGGTATACCCTCCTGGACTTTCCTTTCCCAGTTGCTGCACCCATAGAAACCTATCTTCTTCTTTGTGCCCATTGCCAAATCCAGTTCCAGCTGAACCTTGGTCTTCCTGACCCCACCCCTGTGCAGCCTGGCAGCATCGTATGCTTCCCCCAGGGTACCTGTCCCTGTTTCCATTGCATTCCCTATCACTTGATGAGCAGAACAAAACATATTCCAAAGAGTGATTTTTGCATTTTTTTAATTACATCCTCATGCAAAATGTGAAAGTGAAATGGTAAGACCTGGGGAAACCTGCTGATGAAAGCCCGCAGAGGCATGCTTAGCAGCAGAGAGCAGAGATGGGGCTGCTCCTGAGCAATGGGCAGCATTGATACAAGCTCCTCTCCTCCTCTTGGTGTCACAGGTTCAGATGTGACCGTTCGGATCCGCTCGGAAGGCGATGGGCTCACAGTGCAGCTGCCTTTTGGTTCACATACCCGCACATTCCTGCAGGAGGTCAGCAAGTGCAGCACAGGTAGGTGTGCTCAGTGGTAGGGATGCAGGAGCCCAGGCTGCATTTGTACTTACTGCTCAACCTCACGCACAGCAGCGATGCTTTGTGTCACCGTTCTGCAGCACCAGGTGGCTCAGCAGAGGGGAGCAGCACTTCGAGGCAGTGCTGTGATACACACCTGCATGCTGTGCAGTCAGAAGGCCAAACGGAGATTTGCTCTGTGTATTCTGGGAGACCACATGGAGAAAGCTGTCTCCTCCCACACTCTGTGCTCTGATTTCCTCGGTACCGGCAGCACGCAGCCCGGTGCTCTTTCCATCACGGCTCCCTCTGGGTTGTTTTTTTTTGAGGGGGGGGGAGATGGAAGCACGCTGCTGCTGTCCCAAAGACTTCATGCTGCGGTCAGGGCCTCAGGTCCGGCCCCGGCTCCTGCGTGGGGCGGGTGGGACTGACAGCCGTCCTCCGGCGGGCGGAGCGAGGCGGAGCGGGGCCGGGGCGGAGCGGGACCGGGGGCGGCCGGGTGCCGCGATGTCGGCAGGCGGGCGGCCCCGCCGAGGTGAGCGCTTAGGGGGGACGGCAGGGAACTGGTAGGGCCGGGATTCGAGGTCCGTCCCGTCGGAACCGCCGTGCTCGGGTGCTCACCCCGATGTTGGGTCCGAGCGATGAGAGCCTGATGGGTTGAGGGAGGGAGGATCTGGAGGGGTCCGGGCGCTTGCTTAGCGCATAGTCGTGCTTTGGGGAAGGCACGCTGTCCGCTCGCAGCCATGGGGAGCTCTTCCTGCTGCCCCGAGGGCTGCGGTGAGGGACGAAGGGTTCGCTCCGTGCAGCAGCGGTTCAGCCCACGCTCCTGGGCAGGGCGGTTCGGAGCTTCTGTGCAGGGGGAGCTCGGCAGCTTTGGGACCCCGAGGGCCGCGTGCTGGCTTCGATTCCGGGCTGCTCTTTCCTCGATGGTGAATCCGGTGTCGGTTTTCATGTGCTGTGGCTGCGACCTTTCAGCTGTTCTCGGCCCGGCTGTGGGTCCGCCCCGTGTTGTGCCGTGCCGTGCTGTCCGCCTTTTCCCCTCCTGCTCCCAGGAGCTGCTGCTGTGCGAAGGGAGCGTGTGAGAAAGCGCAGAGAAAGCTGAGCAACGCCGCACTCAGCGTGGCCTTCAAAATAGAGGTTAATCCATTTCTGCTTTACCTGCCTTTGTCTGGGTTGTTGCTGTCATTCCTCCTCTCTTATTCTCTGCCGAGAAGAGGTGAATTCTGTAATTCAGATGTGAGACAGTGGCTCAAAATGCACTGAGCTGGGGATGGGGGAACATCTGTCCAGCTGTGCTGTTTAACACGGGGTTTCAAAGCAACTGGGAAGGACCTGGGTGTGTGTTTAGGAGAAAAAGCACTGAGTGGCACCGGAGCCGGGTGCTGTGCTGGGATGTTTTTGTTGCATCTGGAGCCCAGGAATTCCCTTTGCATTGTGAGCTCTTTGGGAAGCAGCTCTCCTATCAAACTCTGCTTCTGAGCTGTGGCAAAATTGCTTTCTCAAGGTTTTGTTGTGTGTTTCTTCAATCTGAGTTGTTCAGGGATCTCTCTTTTCTTTTATTCTCTCTTAGAAGAAGAAAGCACCATGGCTCAGGGTCTTTTGGGACAGAAAGTAATACAGAGTGAGGGTTTGCCTGCCGTTTTCCATAATATCTCCCACTCTGTCATTATGGGATCATGAACACTGAGCTAGAGACTCCCATATGCAAACCAAAGCACATTTAAATAGTGTGCAAATGCTGCCATTTGCTAGATAGAGCACTACTGGTTCCTTCTTTCTTCTGTGGATTAAGGCTGGTGAATGCATCAGGGATCCAGGAAGGGATTTAATGGGCTTTAACTTCTGTGGTCGATGTTCCCAGTTTGAGTTAGGCCCTTCTCTAGTGCCCTATCTGTGTGTGCAGACTTGGCCTGTGTGCTTCTGTGCAGGGAGGGATGGGCTGGATGCACTGCTGCAAGCAATGAATGGCACAGGTAGTTCTTCCTTCTGGATGCTGAGCTGAATCTGGCCTTATGTGAAGATAGGATACACCTTCCTGCTGCAGAACGGTGCTGGAATGTTGCTGCATGCTTTTCATAGCAAGTCTTTGTTGTCCCTGAAGTCCCTTCTAACTGCAAATCCTGGTTCAGGCTGTCTGTGTTCTGCTGCTCTCTTATCCTTGCACAGAGCTCGTTGGTTCTGTGCCCCATTCAAAGATTACACGAGGTTGTGTATTGCTAAAATATTCCACTTTAGGTTGCCAAATGATGGACCCCTTTGGCTTGAGCAACATCTAGTTCGATACAAACTTATCTGAAGGAAACAGCCCATTTCCAGGGCTAATCTCTTCCTTAGAAGAATCCGACATACAAGTTATTGCTGTTAATGAGGTTAAAACGTGAAGGTGTGACACGTGGCCATGATCTTTGTGTCACACGGTGCTGCACAGCACACAGCAGCCACTGACATCTCCCATGCTGCCCAGCGTTGTCCTCTGAGGTCAACAGAGCCCAAACTTCTGTTCCCTGCTCCAAAAGCAGCAGCAGTCCAATTGCTCTACTGCCAAAGTTCAAGTTGGCAAGATGCACAGCGTGGTGCTTATCAGGAGCACTGCAGAGGCTGAGGCAGCTCTGAAGAAGTGCTTAATGCCTGCAGAGAACACACATCCCAGCTCACACGACTGGGGCACTTTTGGTTGGATGGGCTCTGAGGGAGCGTTGTGCTGCAGTGGTGCTGCTGGTGGAGGTTTTCTCTTATCAAAGTCTGCTCCTGCTCAGCACTGTGGGACTGTGTGTGATCCGTAATGAGGTTTGAATCATGTGCTCATGGAAGCAGCCACTGATTAATCCTCTTAGACAGCCTTTCTTCTCAGAGGGCTCTTTGGGCAGAAGAGGTTTTCCAGGCTGTGAATGCGACCACTTCTTGTGAGTGTGTTTATACTCAGAGTACTCAGAGTTCTGTCTGTGGGATGTGCTCGTGCCCCAGAGGATGCTCTACAGCAGCAATAATACTTAATCATTTTTCTGAACTGTGCTCAGCCGAATGAATGGAGCCTTACGAGCGTCTTCTGTGTCATCTTTAGATTTGTGTGCCACGTGTCGTAGCCCTGAGATTGCCTTTTGTGCATGGACATATGGAAAAGCTATGCAAAATCCTGTGTTCTGCCCCCTTGAAGGAGCAGAATGTCGTAGCTGAAACAAGCGCTGCAGGCTCTAACAAAGTGCCATGTAATTACTATTGTATACCTGAAACTAATTGCATTTGCATAGGGTCTGCCCTGTTGTTTTTTTAGGAAGTGTGATTTGCATTGAGGCACTGTTTCTGCTGCAGCTGTGGTGGGTTTGCACAGAGGCTGTACTGCACTGCTTTGCAGGAGGGGCTCCAGTGCTTTGCTGTGCTGCTGCAGATGAGCAGAAAGCCTTTAAATAGCAGTGTGCTTTTTATTTTTTTCTTCCTTTCTTTGCACTTCCTGTCTTGCTGCGGAAAGGGAAAGCTTATTATCAGTGCAGCTTTTTGCATGCCTGGGATAAAACCCAGTGGGGTGGGCAGCTCTGCAGCCCTGTGCCACGCTGTGTGCCCCTCCTGCCTATTCCCCTGCCCTGCCAGCCCATCAGATAAGTGACAGATCCCGAGATAACTGAGGTGCTTTGGTTCTCTGTACAGACCTAAGCTACATTGGTTTCCCTTCTGTTTGCCTGTGCTTGCTAAGTTAAAGTCCACTTTGTGTTTCATGTGAAATTTTTTTCTCTCTTTCCAGAAGCAGTTGGCTCTGAAGGCATCAAGCAGAATGGAAAGAAGCTTGCAGTCAGTCCAGGCTGGAGCCAGGACAGCACTGACAGGAGTGCTCCCAGGTATGGATTCTCTCTGGCTTCACTTGAATCACATTCGAAGTGATTCTTTTCTGGGTGCTTCTGTGGAATGGTGTGTGGCAGCAACGAGCTGCAGTGGGCAAGCTGATGGTGTTCTGGTGTTGAGAGGAAGAAGGAGAAATTGCAGAGAGCTCTCTGTCTGGTTTCCTGGTTTTCAGCTGGAAAGCAAGAGGGGGAACTTGGTCTCTGTGGTCCCAGTGTCTGTGCAGGGCACCAGCACAGGATACGTGGCTGCTGCATTATTTGCTTCTATCTGCTAGCATTCACCACAGGAACCAGGATCTAGAGCAGCTTTTTGAGAAGAGAACCTTAAGATTCTATTTAAGAGAGGAAAAATGAAGTCCAGGGAATTTTTGCGCTGCCTCTTGGAGCCAGTCCTGCCAGTCTCCCTATTTGGGCATATTTTGCTGTGTAGTGGGACAGGACCCGGCTGCTGTTGTTTGTTTTGAATTCAGAGAGCTTTGGCTTAGGGCCACCTCATCTCATAGATACACTCCTAGAATGTTAGAGTTTCATTTTTCAGTTCCCAGGAGTTTGTGGACCCTGCTGCATATCCTTCAAAGTCCATCTCTGTGCCATCCTTGGCACTCACAATGCAGGTTGTTGAACTTATATCACTTACCTCCTCGTGGGAACTCCTGAGCTGTGTCAGAAGGAACTTGAAGTAACTCACAGAGCCACAAGATACTAAATAAAAACCCCCATCCACTCCTTGCTGCCTCCTTACTGGACAGAAATGGGAGTTTTCTGCTACAGAAACAGTTTTTCATTCTTCTACTGTCATCTGAAGGGTTGAGCAGAGGGCGATGGGACTGGCATCCACCTGTTCCAGGGAGCAGGAAATGTGTATGGTTTTATATCAACATCCAGGAGGGCAAAATCAGCCCTGATCCAACAGGCTGTACTGGATGAGCCAGAAGGATTTGTTCTTCCAGTTGGTTAAACTGGTTTTATCTAGAGAAGGTCTGAGCTGTCATAAGAAGTGCTCGTTTCACTCTTGTCTGCTTGTTCTGATCATTGGCTGGTGAAACAGAGAGGAAGATTTAGGTCACGTCCTCAGCAGCAGAACAAAGTTGTTCAGGGTGTGTGCTTATCCTGTGCTTCATCTCACAGTTCTGCATTCGCTTACAGGCAAAGCAAACTCAAGCCAGAGGTGACAACAGAAATGGTGCGGTCGTCCAGCGTGATGGTCTCAAACATGGCTTCAATTTTATCAGAACCAAAGTTTGGGCTACGAGATACTATTGTCAAATCTGAGCTTGTGCAAAGGGAGGATTCCTACACGTACATCCAGAACTTCAGGTAATGATCATTCCTTATTTTGGAAGCAGGATGAGGTTTTCTGTGCCTGGAGGTGCGTTGGTTCCATGCAGCCCTGCCATCTCTCTCGCTGCTTCAGGTCACTGTTTAACATTGCTGTTGTTCTAATGAGCTCCTAAGAGCTTAGGAGGAATAATCTAATGATGAGCAAAAACTTTTCTGTGGTCAGGATCCATCTGTGCTGGTGATGTGATGAATTTGTCATTTCAGACTGCTACTGCACAGCTCAATCCGTGTGTGCTTTTACACTGTGTGCAAAAAAAGTGTATTTTTCTGTAAAACAGGCACGTAAAGGTGCTACTGTAATTAAATCACTGTAGGAATTTAAGCTTCGCCACGTTGTCTTAACTCCCTCTGGAAACAAGTTACTCCTAAATAATTAGTAATTACTTGAGTTAATAATAGTGATATTTGCAGCTCTGGGATTTAGCAAAAGTGGATTTTTTTGCAGGTTTTTTGTTGGGACTTACAATGTGAATGGTCAGTCCCCCAAAGAAAGCCTCCAGCCTTGGCTGAGATGGGACTCTGTACCTCCGGACGTTTACTGTGTGGGGTGAGTGCCTCCCTCCTGTTCTTCCCTCCAAACCTCAGCCCTGGGTTGCTTTGCTTGTGAAGCCATAGCATGGAGGTGTTCAGCCAGGACACCTGAGGACAGCTGAGGAATGTTTGCATTGCCTTACTCTGCTGCATTGCTTCAGAGTGTGTGTGTGTGTGTGTGTGTGCATAGCCTGGAAGGGCTGTTGTTCTGGTGGTTGGGCTCTTCGGCACTGCAGTTTTACATCATCTTTAATGCAATTCAATATAACTCAGCTTTACATTTAACATACCTTTGAAATGAGCATATCTGAAAATTCCAATTCAGTTATAAGTTAGAGCATAAACTGTTTTAGTTCTTTCCTGGAGGAAAGGGCTGGAGAGTTATAAACAAGTGCGTGCATCCACGGGTTCCTTCCTCTAATGCAGTTTCCAGGAGCTTGATCTGAGTAAAGAAGCCTTCTTTTTCAATGACACACCGAAGGAAGAAGAGTGGTTTAAAGCTGTAACTGATAGCCTTCATCCAGATGCCAAATATGCAAAGGTAAATGGGACTTCTGGGGAGGTTTGAGTGTGGAATCGTTTTCCAGTCGGGCCTCTTTTCACCTTGTTCTCCTATTTTCAATCGCTGTGTCTTTCAGAGGGGCATTGTCTGCAGGCTTTTGCTCAGTCAGAAGGTGACGTAGGCAGTGTTACTGTGCAGAATGCCAAGGCAGAGGGCAGGCAGGACAGCTGGGCGCCATGCCTTAGTGGAGCTCCTCCGGTTTGGGGGTAGAGAATAGGAAGCATCTCATTGTTTGCCCTGTCTGTCTCCTGGTACGCATGCTTGAATGAGCTGTCAAGGCATCTTGGAAGGAATACTGCTTGTGTTTTGGCTCCTTCTCCTTACTTCTGCTTTGTCTCTCGTCAGTTGTCTAAGGGAAGCTCCTTCTATGGGCTGCCTGTGCCTCGGGCTTTGCTTTGGGCTTCTGTTTCCTTTACTGCAGCATTGCTCCCTGGCTCCCTCCTGTGCTGTGCTGCTGGAGTGCCTGTAACCGTGTGTCGAGGTGGTCTGTTGGATGAGCCTGCAACTCTCCTTTGTGTATACTCTGACCTGTGTTCTGGGCTGGGAGGCGACGTGCCTTCTCCTGTTCTGGTGTTTAATGCAACAGGATCTGTTTTTCAGGTGAAACTTGTGCGACTCGTGGGAATAATGCTTCTGTTGTATGTGAAAGCAGACCTTGCTTTGAACATCTCTGAGGTGGAAATCGGGACTGTGGGAACTGGCATCATGGGGAGGATGGTAAGAATTGACAACAGTACGTGAGACTTTGGAGAACCCTGGGAGCCCCTCTCCTTAAATGTAGAGGTTATTCTTCCAGCTAAAAGATGCAGCTGCCTTTAGAAATGCATCTGGTGGCTCAGGGTGTTGCTGGAGGGAACCACCATCTGCTCTCAAAGCCCTACAGACCTTGAAAGCTTTTTTCATGTGTTGGGCTGTATGGGGCCATGAGGTTTGATGATGGCTGTGGTTTTGCCTAAGGCAATTAATGTGAAGAAACACAAGAAACCTGTCCATCCAGATTATAGTTTTCCTGAGGGGGACTTAGTGGCCTCTTGCCGTTCTGCTCCATCGGAATGAAATCTATGTCCTTTCACTGTCATTTCTGCAGCTGTAACTTGGCAGAGGTATTTTGGACCAGCTGAGCCATGTACTTCCTCCTCCACTTTCAAATCTTTATGTTCTATGTTGAAAGGTTTAATTTGTTGCTAAACAGGTTTCAGGACTCGATGAAGCAACTGACCAGCACTCTTATTGATTTGAACTTCCTTTAGTGCCAGCTAAATCCTAAGTTACAAACTGGGCTCTGTGCGTTTGCTTGCCACCTTGTGTTGCTGTGTGATCCTCACGTGAGCTAAAATTCACAAAGCACTTATCACTTGCAATTATCAATTGGGTTTTCATCCTTCTGGAATTTGTGGTCTGCCTCAGCATCTTCTGTGTTGTCCGCTGCTATTAACTCATTTTTGGATTCATCTGCTGTGTACAGAAAAGTTTCTGAGCGCTGTGTTTCTCTTTCAGGGTAACAAAGGTGGTGTTGCCATAAGGTTTAAATTCCATAACACAAGTGTGTGCGTTGTGAATTCTCACCTTGCGGCTCACACGGAGGAATATGAGAGGAGGAACCAGGACTTCAAAGACATCTGCTCTCGGATGCAGTTCTGCCAATCGAATCCAAATTTGCCACCTCTCACTATCAGCAAACACGAGTATGCTTCTCATTTGATTGTGGGGATCACTGCAGGAAGCAAGACAGAGCATTATGAATGTGGTGGGCTGTTTTCTAGGCAGGGATGTGAGGAGGGTGGTTAATGCTTTAATTGCTAGCCTGGAAAGGCCAGAAACACTTCTCTACAACTCTGGTTTTGATAGTGGTCACCTATATGGTTCTGGCAAGTCACTTGCCCACTTATGCTCTAAGAAGCCTTGTTTTAGTTCCTGCATGAAGCAGGAAGGGGGCAATAATAGACATGAATCTCCTCGATGCGTTTTAGTGCTTTTTATATTCCTCACTAAACACCAGCTATGAAAAGATGGTGACAAACATGCAGGGTGGGAATTAAAAACAGCAAAGGCAGAAAAAGTGGCTTCTCATCCAAGTTCCAACTCTTGCTTGTGGTGCAGCAAGACAGACACAACATCCACCTGATCATGAGGAGATTAGAGAGCTCACATGGGCATCTTTGGGCCCATGTGCAGACTTCTGGTCTACGTTCTCTTGCAGTGTGATCTTGTGGTTGGGTGACCTCAACTATCGGCTGGAAGAACTGGATGTGACGAAAGTGAAGCAGCTTGTAGATGAGAAAGCATTTCCAGAGCTTTGCCAATACGACCAGGTACTGATGCCTCAACCACCTGCAGGTGGTGCTGAGGGTGCTAATTAGGGATTGCTCATGTACTACTCAGCTTCTCAATGCTGAACATCTCTCCTTTAGCTCATATGGGGGTTGTGCTTGAGCTTGTTCCACTTTTCTTCTTTTTTTCTTCTGTAGCTAAAGAGGCAGATGAATGCAAAAGCTGTCTTTGAAGGCTATACAGAGGGAGAGATTTCTTTCCAGCCAACATACAAATACGACGCTGGCTGTGATGAGTGGGACACGAGGTACAGTGATTGCTTCGTATGTGACACTGATGTTACCCTCGAAGGCAGTAAAAATAAAGTGAAAAAGAAATACAGAAACGGGCCTTGTTCAAAACACCTGGTTCCTGGGAGAGCAGTGTTCTGCCTTGCATTGTTATTCCACCTGAACTGTGCCTGGAAGCTGTAATTTTCACCTCTCTGTCCTAGTGAGAAGTGCCGTGTTCCAGCTTGGTGTGATCGGATACTCTGGAAAGGCCAGAACATTGCTCAGCTGAGCTACCGTAGCCATATGGCTCTGAAGATCAGCGACCATAAGCCAGTTAGCTCTGTGTTTGATATTGGGGTAAGTGTGTCAGTGCTGAAGGAAATAAGTCTGCTGACCTTGTCCTGTGTGTGGGAGGAGGAGGGAGGCTCTCCTGCTGGATTGTCTCCACTTTTATGGCATCTACATGGAACGATGGCTTGCAAGATGGGCTGGGTAATATACTGAGCATGATAAGATAAGGTTGTGTTAAGTGATGCATCACTTTGGCAGAATAACTTAAGAGTATCTGCAGGTATTTTTTTAGACATATTTTTTTTCTTTAATCATTTTTTCAGAAGTTTGCAGTGCAGGAATGCTACATCACTGGAGTGTGCTGTCAAACTTCGTAAATAACAAACAAATAAGCAAAAGCCCTGACTGTGGGTGATTCTCTTACCTCTCTTGTTGGTTATAGCAAGGTCCTTTATTGCTGGATCCCGAGGAGATCTTAGAGCAGTAGTGCTCCAAGGAGTTCTATTCTTTAAATGCATTGTACTGCTAAAATGGAATCACTTCATGTTTTAGGCCCATATATTATAGCTCACCTGTGGAGGCACAGTAAATATGAGTTGGTGCTATGTGTGTCCTTTTCAGGTGAAAGTTGTGAATGAGGAGCTGTACCGAAAGGTCTTTGAGGAAATCGTGCGCTCCCTGGATAAGATGGAAAACGCCAACATTCCCTCGGTGACCCTCTCCCAGAGAGAGGTAGGGTCTGTCCATCTGTTGTGAGTTGCTGGACAAATCAAGCATTCCTAGACCCTAGATGTGTTTTCTCGTGGTTGCAGTATGTTAGATGGATGTTGGACCATACGGTCTGGTTCCAGTCAGGCTACCGAGCTGAAACATACAGCCATGTTATGAGATGGAGAATAAAAGGGTAGCTTCAAGTAACAGCAAGTATCTCTTTCTGTTACTTGTTCTTGGAAACATAAAATGTAAAATTCTGAGGGATTTGGAGAAGGTCACAAGACCAGCATTTGCTTTGTGTGTTGGGGACTGTAAAAGATAAGTAACCGAGAGGCTTACAGATACCTTGTTCTCAAATTCCACTGAGGTTATTTGAGGGGAGCATTTGTTTTAAAGGGCACACTGCTGCACAGAGTGTAAATAAGTGTAATCCTTTTTAATCCTGGAAGAGGCGGGATGTGGGAGCAAGAGGGTTAATCTGGATATCTTGCTGCTTAATGATTAAACTATGGGACAGCAATGTGAGGAATTGCTGCTGGTGCTTGGCGAGGGGGGATTGGCTGATGATGTTGGCTGATGTTTGTTTTTTAGTTCCATTTTGAGGACGTCAAATACATGCAGCTGCAGGTAGAGAAGTTTACGATCCGCAATGGACAAGTGCCCTGCCAGTTTGAATTTATCAGCAAACCAGATGAGGTTACCTATTGCAAGGAGTGGCTGATTGCTAATCCGAGTAAGGGCTTTCTGCTGCCAGGTGAGCTCTTCATTGTTCATTTCATGTTAATGAGCTAATATTGTCACATGTTGGCTTTGTTCTTTTTGCTATTTTGAGAGTGCTATGCTTGTTTACATATTATTGGTTTAATGCCTTTTTTGAACCTCAGTATGGTTTTCTTATCTTCCGTCAGGTTCTGAGATCACAATTGAGTTGGAACTGTTTGTTAATAAATCAACAGCTACACACTTAAACTCTGGAGAAGAAAAACTTGAAGACATCTTGGTCTTGCATCTAGACAGGGGGAAGGATTATTTTCTGTCTGTAACAGGAAACTACTTGCCCAGTTGCTTTGGGTCTCCCATTCACACGCTGTGTCACATGAGGGAACCGATCCAAGACATGTCTGCAGAATCCATTCGGAATCTTGTGAGTTAAAGATAAGCTTCCCTTCTGAACCCACAGACACCATTAAAATTAGGTGATTGTCTTATTTATTGCCACAGAGCCTTCTTTCACTCCCCTGGTCCATAGTCTGAAAATGCTGATACTTCTCCACACCTTGTTTTAGTGCTTTGTGTGGATGAACCAACCCATTTTGGGTACACTGCTGTCATTAATGTGCCATTTGCTCTGCTTGCACGTTGAAAAAAGGTGTGTGTGAAGTGTGATTGAGAGCATCTTTTCTGTCTGTGCTTGATTGTGCCTGACACAGCAGTCTGTGAAAACTGGTGAGTGCAGCTGCACAGCTTAACAAGTCCTAGTTCTGAGCTGTAAACTCTGTGAAGCAATTTGCAGAGTTGAGCAAGAAGCTGGCCAGCTCACCTTGTTCCTAGTTTATTTTTTCCTCCTTACCTCTCTCTCTCAGACCCTGATGCCACTGGAAATGAGCAATAATGCTACTCAAGCTGAAAAGCCTCTGGAAATTCCCAAGGAGCTGTGGATGATGGTGGATCACTTATACCGCAATGCTTCCCAGCAGGTTGGCAGTGATTGTGCTGGAGCTGCAAAATAATTTGTTTGCATTAGGTTAAGTTTTGGAGAAGATGCTAGTAAAGGCAACCATTGCTAAGTGTGGATGTTTGGCTAATGGTAAAGAGTGAAAATGGATATTTTTGAGATAAGAGATCCTATTACCCTGGGTTGCAAAGTTTTGTGAAGGTGATGCAGTCTGTGTGTGGCATACACCAGCAGCTCTCCTTTTGCATTGCTCTTTCCTGCGGTCTCGTAGCCTTCCTAAAAACTGCTGATGGTGAGCTTTGTGCTGATAACTACCAACCTAGGGATGTTTTTCCTGACATTTTATAATGGCAATGCTCTATTTACCCAAATAACTTCTGTTTTTCCTTGAGACTGATTAATGGTGGCCTTTGCAGGAGGACCTATTTCAGCAACCAGGCCTTAGGTCTGAATTTGAGCAAATCCGAGACTGTTTGGACAAAGGAATGCATGATACCCTCCGTATCCTTTTAGACTGATGTCTGATTGGGCTCACTGTGCCCAAGCAAAAGATCAAAACTGAGAAAGGTTTCATCAGTCTTCTGCGCTCCGTCACGGTTTTTAAACTGCTTTCTCTCATCTCATGGTAACTGAGATGTGCTTCTCTTTGCTGCTATTTGCAATCAGTCCTAATGCCTCTGCTGAGTCCTTGTTATATTGATGTATGATTGTTGATTAACTACATCGGTATCTAATTGCCAATGGAAACAGTTTGCTATGTGGGGCCAAGCAATTTAACTCAAAGCTGTGAACAGTAGTTCTCGGAGACCTCGGAGTGAAGATTAGTGTTTCAGCACACATACTGCCAAAATAGACCACACTGTGCTTAACTTCTTCCTTAACCACCTTTGGACCAGTTGGCAGCAACCACTCGGTAGCAGAGGCATTGCTGCTCTTCTTGGAAAGCCTGCCAGAGCCAGTCATCTGCTACAAGTTCTACAACAGCTGTTTAGAGTGTGCCAACAACTACCTGCTGAGCAGCCAGGTAATGCCAGCTTCAATGGGAGACCATTTCTGGAAGGAGGTAGACTGCTTTATTGTAGACAAATTACAGCATTTTGCTATGAGAAATGTAATCTTATCATAAAAGAAATGATCCAGAACTTGGGTTATTAAGAGCTGTTCCCATATACAGACAGTGTGATGTTGGTAGTAGACAAAGCTTCCAAGTTATTGTCATTTCTTCAATATATGTTTTTTTTTTTTCTCCACCCAGATTATCTCTAACCTGCCAGAGTGCCATAAAAACGTGTTTGAATATCTAATGGCATTTCTACGAGAACTACTGAAAAATTCAGGGAAGAACAATTTGGATGTGAATATTCTAGGTAAGGCAAGCAAAATAACCATTCTGTTCAGAGGGGTTTTTCAGTTAGTAGGACAGAACATATTTATCTAAAGCAATTGCAATCACGGTCTCTACTGTTTTGAAGTATGTCATTACTTAAAATCCACAGAAAAATGGATTTTGCATCCTTGCAGTAGCCTGAAAAAAGTTTTACGGTGTCACAGGGAGGTCAGTGTGTCATCAGCTTTATCTAACTCCTGCTGAAACCAGGCTCTCTCTCATTACAACTAATTGACATTGGTGGAATCACCCTTAATAGCTTGCTGTTGACTGGTGCTCTCTTTTTTCTTTCTCTCTCTCTTTTAAAAATGCAGCTAGTATATTTGGTGGCTTATTACTTAGACCTCCTCCTGGACATCCTATGCCTGATATAACAGAAAAGAGGAAAGCTCAGCAATTTATCCATCAATTCCTCCTGAAAGAGAACAATTTATCGTGAATTTCAGATGCAGCTAATCATATTTTTAGATATGAAACTACTGTAAAGAAAAAAATGTACAGTATATCAGTTTGTTTTTTTTTTAATCACAGTATTTTATACAATCTTTTGCTATTAAATGCAGCTCAGGCATTTAGAATCAGGTGTCACTGTTAATAAGCTGTAAAGTATATTGAATTTTTAAATAAGCTGTACGTAGACAAGCAAAAATATAAAAGCTGATATTTACTCTTGTATTTAACTTGTATTAAAGCACAGAATTTTTAAGTCGTTATTTAAATAAAAACATCCCAGTGCATTTTCCAGCCTTGTCTGCTTTGGGCTCTTGGTTTTAAGTGTGCATTAAGTCACACCTGTTACAGGCACGGAGCAGCCCTATCCACTGTAGGATACGAGCATTTCCATGCCTTCCCCAGCACTCTGTAACCCTATGGGAGAGTGCAGCACCACAAGGCAGCACTGCAATCAAGGACAAGACCCTGGGCTACAAGAAGATGGGTAGTTTTAAACCCGGCTGATGGCCCAGCATTGAGCAACGCCACGGGCTTCTGCCTCATGGGGGTTGGCCTGGGTGGTGTTTCAGGGCTACTCAACATTCCTATCTCTTCATAAAGATGCAGCAGTACTCAGCGTGCAGTGGTGGAGCAGTTTGTTATCTGGTGTCTGATGATCAGGGGACTGGAGCACCTCCACCACGAAGACAGGCTGAGGGAGCTGGGCTTGTTCAGCCTGGAGAAAAGAAGGCTGAGGGGTGACCTCATTGCAGCCTTCAGGACCTAAAGGGAGCCTACAAACAGGAGGGGAATCAACTCTTGGAAAGGGGAGATAACAGCAGGACAAGGGGAAATGGTTTGAAGTTGAGGAAGGGGAGATTGAGGTTGGATGTCAGCACCACTTTACTATGAGAGTGGTGAGGTGCTGGAACAGCTGCCCAGAGAGGCTGTGGATGCCCCGTCCATCCCTGGAGGTGTTCAAGGCCAGGTTGGATGGGGCCCTGGGCAGCCTGGGCTGGTGTGAAATGTGGAGGTTGGTGGCCCTGCGTGTGGCAGGGGGTTGGAGATTCACCATCCTTGAGGTCCCTTCCAACCCCGGCCGTTCTGTGGTTCTGTGATGTGGCCTTGGGGGATCCTGATGGTCAGTATGGACAATGAAGCACTGAGGAAAACCTCATTTTAACTCTACTTCCGACTTCGTCTAGGGAGAAAACTGCACAGACGGGTACGCAGTTGCAATTTGTTCCCTGCTGTGCGACTGGTTTGACGCTATGGATTTATTTAAGCAGGAGCTGGGCTCCGTGTCCGCACTCCCCCGCCGCCCCACACGCCGTTTCCCTCACGTTAGGGCCGGGCCCAGCGCAGCAGCCCACTGCGCATGCGTAGCACCCCGCTCCCATCAACCCCCGCGGCGGGCGCGGCCTTCCCGTCGTGCCGCGCGCGGCCGGAAGCGGAAGTGAGTGCGCTGGTAATCATGGTGCCGCTGGGGTGGGGAAGGAGGTGCCGCCGCTACCGGGAGCTCGGTGAGCGCGGTCGGAGCGAGACGGGGTGGCCCCTAGGGCTTGTGTGCGGGGTTGGGGTGGGCCCTGACGGCGGGTGGCAGCGGAGCTGGATGGACTAAGGCATCGCTAAGCTAGGGGATGGGAGGAAAGGCCTGCTTCGGCCCGTAGGGTGCGGGCTGCGGCGCGGTGCCGACGCCTGGGAGTGTTGCGGGGGTCTTTGAGCTCTGGGAGGAGTTGTGTGGAGAACGGAGGTGTGCGGAGAACGGGGGTGTGCCCGCACCTGAAACGAGGCTCGAACGGGCCGGCCCTGTCTGAGCCTCCGCCTTCCCGTCCCTCTGTTGCAGATGGGTTGTTACGGTCCCGCTTCAGGATACCGCAGTGAGCGGCGGTGAGCCATGGGGGAAAACAGTCCCGAAGGCAACGTTATCTACTATGAAGTGGACGATGACGAATTAACCCAAGATGACAATATGATGAGGTTTGCTGATAAAAACGGACTGGTTTCTTCATCGTCCGGGACAGTCTATGACAGGACAACTGTTCTCATAGAGCAAGACAGCGTGCTGGAAGATGATGAGGATGAAGGACAATGTGGTGATCACTTGCCTTTTTTACCGGAGGGTCATGAAGAAGGATTTCATTTAATAGCAGATCATGAAGGAATGTCCCAGGGTTATGTGCAACATATTATTTCTCCAGATCAGATTCACCTAACAATAAATCCTGGTTCAACTCCTATGCCAAGAAACATTGAAGGCGCAACACTCACTTTGCAGTCTGAATGCCCAGAAACCAAGCTTAAAGAAGTAAGTAGTTAAATATATTTTTAAATTTGTGCTTGTCGTGCTTAGTATTCATCTGATGACCTCAGATGCTTTGAAAAATACGGTGACTAAAAGTGTGTGCCAGGAGGCAGGCAGCAGCTTTTCCTGTTCTTAAGGGTCACCACGTAGCTGGTTCTTATGAGTGATTCCATCAACCCACTGTTACTGTTAGCAGTAGTAGTGCTTTGTGCAGGGAGGAATAGCTGTGTTCTACGGTCCTTTGGTGCGTCAGCAGTATAGCTGTGAATGTCTTCAGTTTCTAATCTCATATCTTGTTGTTTTCTTGTGAAGCAGCAGGAAGTGCTTTTTGACATCTGCAAGCTAGAGGAGAATATGGCAACAGATAAACATTTATAGTAATCCGGTTTCTGTTAGTACCAGCGGTGTAGTATTAGTTCTGCTGTTGTATTGTTTGGATAATTATTTTCTTAGTTCAGCTAAAAAGAGCGTGAGCTCTGTTATTCTGTGGTGAACCACATTCCTGAGAAAAGTGCATCTAAATTGCAGGTTAAGATCTACCCTCGCAGAATTAGCTAAAATATGAAGCTTAAGATGCCAAACTTAAAATTCCTTTTTAGCTTTATTGTGTCACTCCCAGGGAAACTGAGAAGAAAGCAAGAGAAACCTCAGAATACCATCTGCTGTCTTAAAAGCTTAAGTTAGCTTACGTGTTAAAATGGAGGCTGCTTCTAATTCTGTTTCCCTGATGAATTCTACCTGCATGCAAAGTGGTGATGGCTTGTAGGTTTGTTACTTCTTAGGTGCAAGGCAAAGTGGATTCAAATGCTGACATATTTCTAACAACTTCGCCCTACTTTCTTGGCCCTGCTGAGTTAAACTCTTACTGGTGCCTTAGCGAGTATCAGTGGCAGTAGTATCAGCTGCTCGTGTAACTGATATTCAGTGCGAGTGAGAACTGTAGAAATGAGCCCCTGCTTAGGAAGGAAGCTCGGTTTGAATGCTGTGAATAATTTAAATTAGCAGGCAGCCTTGATTGTCACTCACTCAGCAACAAGGATACGGGGCTGTAGGAGGTCAGCTTTGCAATCAGTTGTGAAACTTCTGGAGCAAGGTTTGTGCAATGGACCCGTTCAAAGGATGCTGTTTGTTCAAATATTATTCACGCTAGTAGCAGCTGCATCCTCCCTTAGCTGCTAAAATGTTTAATTTTGGTATGTCAGTCATGCCAGTATTTTCCTTTCTTTTAGTAGAACAATCAGCTTGCAGTCTGCAGTGTGTGAGAACAGTTGTGTACTAGTTACATTGGTGTTGATGGCTTTACATATGCTGTTAAACTGATTTATTTTTCTATGCTGCCTTTTAAAAAAACGCTTGTAAAACCTGGAACTGCCTGATTCAGTTCTTTGTCTGAATTTATTTCCCATCCCTTGGCTTAATTTTCAAGGTGAGAGGGGAGGAATTGCCCTATAATTTGAATGCAGTGGAATTGAGTGTAGAGCAAACAGCTCATTTCCTTTTTTTTCAAGGATTTCAGATGCTTGGAAAGTTTTTGGAGGAGGAAAAAATAACTTTAAAATCTCTGAATGCTTGGGTCAGCTCTCAGTGCTACCAGTTCAATCCTTTGGCATTTCCAAAACATCTGAGGAGGTCCTAATAATGAAGATGAATGTTTTAAAGTCTCATACTTTCAGGTCAACCTTAGACATCTGTGAAGGAAAGTTTTACTCTCCTTTAAGTCCCTTTAACTTCCTTGTGTTGTCATAAACTTCTCTCGCTGTAATTGTCTGCATGAGAATAAATGCAATTGCAGTCTTCTATTTCAGTTCCATTGTAGTTTTAATCAGTGGTGGTAGACAAAATGTAAACCTAAGTGGAAAATCCTAAACTGAAGACAATGTAAAGGCAAACCGAGCAATTGAAGTGGCCTTTGGTTCAGCTTTTGTGAGTCGTTGTTGATGATTGGACAATTAGTTCTTACTTCTGGGGTAAATATTTAATGAAGACTTCTAGCTTCCCTCTGGTGTGTGAGGAGCATGTTATCTTCTGCAAAAAATCTGATGTGATACAGCCACAGCCTTTGTCTTCAAAGCAGCTTGTTCCTGTACACGTTGTACCCAACCATCCCTGGCTTTTCCTGTAGCTGCCCTGTTTCTGTTGTGTTCCTTGCACATGACAGTGGCCCTGAGTACTTGCTGCTCTGTCTGCCAGTCTTTCATGGTCGGTATCTACATCATTTCATGTGTATAATATTTATGTGATGTGCTGAATTTCCTAAGGTGAAAAGAGAATTAAGAGCTTTGCTGTTGTATGAGGAGTTTTATTTATTTGAAACAGTATTGCTTCTGTCTCCAGCGTCCTTCTAAATCTGCAAAATAACAATTTAGTCTTCGAAGAAAAGGAGGAGCTCTACAAGGCCTTCCAACTGAACATGTCATTGCCATCTTCCTTTAAATGGGTATATGGCAGCTGGGACCAAATCATTACTGTGTAATAAATATTCTTTTCCTTTCACTTTCTGCTTAACTGTAACCACAAAGGACTCTTCACCTAATAGTTTCTAGGTAGCTCATGTCTCTGTCAACTCCCTTTTATTACGGGAAGCACAGTGGAAAACGCCCTATAATGCAGCATGTAAAACTGATTACCAGCTGCCTTAAATTTCTAAAGGGTAAGAATTGACTTCCAAACTGATATAAATTGTAGTGAATCTGAAGATCTCTGGTGGACGTTTTCTTCTGAGAAAATGTGCTTTCTGACCTTGTGTCTGTATTTTACAAGTCTGTACTTTTCCTTCTGTTTTGGTAGACTCAACACACAACCAAATTTATTAATTATCTTTTAACTGTATTGTTATGCTCATATATTTGTTGGTAACTATTAGTGTAATATATATGTTCCAGATCCCGTTAATTATCCTTGTGGCACTGTATTACATTAGCTTACATGAACACAGGTCAGGGGATCCCATGTTATTGTGTTTTCAGCCCCCAAGCTGTGGTAATTAAAGAGTTTCAAGTTTTCTGATGGATGTATACATAAAGCAACAAGAGATGAGCAGTTGTTAAGACCCATAGATGTTACATGCTGGTTATCTATAGGTTCATCTATCTCTACTGTGGTAGCAAACTACAACTCAGTGTTTTTTTTTGTCAGTTAGTTTTAAATTTTCTTTTTGTCTGAAGCGTTTGCTAAGCAGTAATGCTGTGTACCGTGAGGTAGGTGTTGAGTGCCTTGGTAAAGAGGAAGATTGCTGACCATGACCTGCTAGATTATCTTTCTGTCTACTTGTTAGAATACTAAATCTGATGGTTTTTGCTCCTCTGTTGTGACTTTGCATCACCTTTCTAAGGATTTCAAAATCAACATCTTCTGAAATGCTTCTGCTTCTTGCCTGTCAAGCATCACGTTCTCTCCTGAGCTGTATAATTACTTTTAGGTGTTAAGGATTCTCAGCTGAAACAGTCAAATGAAAGCCGTCAGCCTGATAATTAATGTTGGAGGGAGATTACTCAAGCATATCAAGGCCTACTCCTTTTCCTTCACAAGAGAGAATGAGATTTAATTAAGTGTTATGACTTGCACGCTGGAAGTTTCCTGACGTGGTCTCTTCCTGCCTGTTGCAGAAGATGGGAAGGCTGTCAAATCTAATTCATATGGAACTGTTTCCTGGTGATCTAGATGGCTGTGAAATCTGTGGCACCTGTGATATGAAGCACCCTGTTTAATTCAATATACTTCAGGCATGTGCTGTTTGAGTGAACACAGGAGAACACAGCACGGCAAAGGCTGCTTTTGAGATAAAATTAAGTAACACTATAGGAGATTTAAAACAATTGTACATTCCTTCAGCCTGTTAATTCAGCACTCAGGCTGGTTTTTTTGAGGGTCAGCTTGTGAAAGTACATCCTTCCTTGTCTTCCTCCTCTGTAAGTAGCTCTGCTATAAGCAGTGGAGGTGCTCTGGATGGGAATAGTGAGTTGGTTTGATGTAATCTTGGGGATCCTTTCCAACTTTTGATTTCTAGCTATATATGTATGGAATTATTTTTTTTTCCCCTTTTCCTTTTCAATTATTTTCAATTTTCTATTCTGTAAGGTCAGCCTTCTTTCCAGTGCATGCCACTCTTCACATGGTACAGCAGATCTATTAAATAGTCTGATAATTAAACTGTTTGTTATTTTTTCTTTCCTTTGACATCAGAATCCATCATACTGTCTCTGGATTCCAGAAATGATTAAAACTAAATTATGCAACATTTATATCCCATAGGTTAAGAGATACCAGTGCACTTTTGAGGGCTGTCCACGAACCTATAGCACTGCTGGAAACCTGCGCACTCACCAAAAGACACATCGTGGGGAATACACTTTTGTCTGCAATCAAGAAGGCTGTGGCAAAGCCTTTCTTACCTCTTACAGCCTCAAAATCCATGTTCGAGTGCACACTAAGGAGAAGCCGTTTGAATGTGATGTGCAGGGCTGTGAAAAGGCATTCAATACACTGTACAGGTAGGAATTCTCTGCATATTTCTCTTGGAGAAATGTGGGAAATGGGTACCAAGATGGCATAGATGTCCAGGATGGCAGAAGTTGTAATAATGTACTTAGCTTATTTATTTTATGGTAGTTTTGAAGATGGTGCACAGACGTGAGGAATTCTCAGATTCTACGAGGACTTCAGAAGTGATATCAATTACATACATTAAGCATTTGATCCTGTCTTGTACATTGAAGTGGATGGCTTGCCTTGGAGAGAGGCTGGCTTGTGTGACAAACCATACGAGGGATTTGTTTTTAACTCATTTTAGGTTGAAAGCACATCAGAGACTTCACACAGGGAAAACATTTAACTGTGAATCAGAAGGCTGCAGTAAATACTTCACAACACACAGTGACCTGAGGAAGCACATTCGAACACATACAGGAGAAAAGCCATTTCGGTAAGTTACTAGATGGCAATTTTTACTGCTCTGGAACTTCTGTAATGGATTGCCTGTGCCAAAAGAGAACTATTGCTGTCATTAGAAAACTTATTTTTGTACCAAAAGACAGCTATTACTGCCGCTAATGAGAACGTGTTTAAATAAAATGAAGGAGGGTAGCATTTGAGCATGTTTGTTCTGGAACTTTCTCAGATGTCTGTAAAAGTGGATGAAATAACTGTCTTCAAATGACCAGAATCATCAAGTTAGAATATTCTTTTTTAGACAGAAACATATTCCAAGATAAACATGTTTGTGAAACGCATTGCTGCTTCTCTGTTGAGATGCAGTATTTATTCCACAACAGCTCACCAAACCCTCAAATGAGGAATTTGTGTTTGAAATTTAAAGTCACAGTCAGAATCCTGCCTGCATAGCATGCTTAGCAGCAGTTGGGAGATGTAAATGACTAGCAGAGATTAGTATCAGGCCAGCCCTTTGGAGTCCTGTGACTATTGCAGAGCATAACAAGAAGTGGTAACACGCCTGTGAAAGAATCTTGATGCTAACTCTTCCCTCATCTTTCATTCAGGTGTGAACATGACGGCTGTGGAAAGGCTTTTGCTGCAAGCCATCACCTCAAAACACATGTTAGGACACATACTGGTGAGTCCGAGGCGTTTGGTTTTGCTTTAATTGAGTCTATTTAGTTTGTACTAACTCTTAGGATCCTAATATGTGTTTATACTTGCATATAAAATAATCTAGCAAGGACATTTAATTAGATGTTTTACCTATCAGGCAAGGTAATCATATGTTTTTTACCCTTGCATGTAATTCATAAAAACAAAAATTCTTTCATAGCAGCCCTGGCACAATTGCTTTTATTCTTTAAGTTACACAATACATTCAGGATTGCTAAACACAGCTATTTAAATAGATAAAACTCAGTGAATCTGCTGTGAATCATTTATTTCCTAGATATCTCTAGGAATATATCTTTCAACCTGTGTTGAGCAAACTGGTAACGTGCAAACATAGGTGGGCAGTCAAAAATTCAGCTCGTATTTCAGATGAGAACAAAGAAACAGAACCATGGAGAAAAGTCACCTCCATGTATGCCTCACAGGTCTTAAATTTCATCAGCATGTTTCACAAATGTGTCAGTAATGATGCATACGAGTTAAATACTGTGTTCATGTATCAATTCACTTGATAAAATGGGAGCTTTTGTTTGCAAGGCTCTTTCCAAGAATGTTGAGTGTATGAAGTGGCATTATAGTGACTCTCAAATCTATTCATACAAGTTCCAACGTGCCAGGTAATAATTACTCACTGTTTTCCAGAGTATCATTAAGACCATTTGTGGGATGGGACCCAGCCTTTTGAATAGGGCACTGTGGTGGCAGGTTAAGGAACTGTTTCTTAGCTGCTACTGCTGCTGGCTTGGCTGTAAGTAGCAATTTGTATAGAGGGAAAGGTACCCCTTTCTCTTATCAGTATGTGCACTAGTGCAGAAAGACTTTGAAATACCTGACCTATGTTAAGTTTTTGCCTTTTATACTAACTGAAGTTGTGTTTTGGAGAAAAACGTGCTTCTATGTATATAATACTATTATTATCCTACGTTGTTTAAAAATGTCTCATATAAGTTTGTCATGTGTGTTTTCATGCTGCCTGTAGGGGAGAAGCCCTTCTTCTGTCCCAGCAATGGCTGCGAGAAGACTTTTAGTACACAGTATAGTCTCAAGAGTCACATGAAAGGCCATGAGAAAGGACATACCTACAATGCACTTCCCAATAACAATGTGTCTGAGGTTAGTAGTAGTCTGTAGGCAATTCTATACGTGGTCATGCTGTCTCCTGTAAACTCTCTGTTTCAGTCAGCACTGTGTAAATAAATGTTTGAAGTAAAACAAAGGCTGACTATGAATGACTGGAATTTTTGTTTTCCACAGGCTGCTTTGCTCGTGCTCATTTAAAATTCTTCGTTGCTTAATTTTTTGGAAAGCAACCTGTCCCTTTTTAAAAATATTTAACTCAATTTCTTTTCTTCTTTACAGGATACAAGCCACTCGCTTTGTCTGAGTGATTTAAGCCTCATATCAACAGATTCAGAGCTGCGGGAGAACTCTAATCTAGTGAGTTATTGTCTCTGAATTGCTTCGCTTGTAATTTGAGTTGAGTGGTTTTTTCCCCTAACAATGTGCTTGACCTGTTGACTGGAATACAGTAGATGAGATACGTATGACTGGTGGTTGCTTCTGTTTCAATTAGTCCAGCCTGCAGCATGCTTTCCTTTAAGCTATCATTCTGCTACTAGGAGAGATGTACTCTGCCACAGAATAATTGATTAGAGTTGCTTTAGGTGTACTAAATACTGCCTTGTTGGTGTGCTTTGTTGCAGTTTGCAGGAGGCTGCCTCTTGACAAGTGTGTGTGTTTCCTACACACTCTGCTCAGTCTGTCAATCTGACATTATTGTGTCCATTTTGGGATGTTGGAACAATATATGTAATTTGGACTCTGGGTGAAGTTGTATTAGCATATATCAATTTCCCTTCCCGTGATCAGTGCTGTTCTTTCTTTTAATAGCTAGGGGACTGTTTTTTTCTCAAGAAAAAGAAAGCCAACAACAACATTCTAGCATTAACTTCTCAATATAAAACCAAAATTGGATTGGTCAGAAGGAACAAGGTTGAAGTGAAGAGTATATGCAAATGATGTATTGCGTTAATATCTAGCGTAAGTTAGAGGTGCAGCTATGATAAGTTTTCCTCTGTAGGATTAGAGCAGACTGAGCAGTAAATCAAGGAGGTAAGCAGTTGATACGTTGTCCAGCATGTTTCATTTGCCTGGGTGGGGAGTTTTGGACGTGTCCAGACTAAGCATGACAAGTTCACCTCTCAAAGAGACCAGACAGGAATACAGAGAAGCAAATATTCAGGCAAGCTTTTGGTTTTGTACAGCTGTGTAAGGTCTTCATAAAATCTGCTACTGAGAGAAACCTTATTTGGGGCAGAACTAGTATTATGTATTTAGACTTTTAGGATATTTTCCATAGCCTTTTCTGTTTAAATTTGGGTTTTAGGTATTAGTTGGATCACTTCTATAGAATAATTTGTTGTATTAAGTGGCACAGTCACTTAATTAGGTTATCAAAGAGTAGCTTTCAGGTGCCCTTTAAATAGATTACATCTTTTTGCGAGTACATCAGTGAATAAAGCTGTAAGTGCTTGAAGAGCCTGTTCAGGAAGTAATTGCACTTTATTGGCTCTTTTAACTCAGAGCTGATGTAAATGACTCCAAAGTCTAGCAGCAGAATAACCGAGTGAAAGAGAGAGACTTTCTTCTAAAATACATAGTGATTAAATCATACCATTTTTTAAAAGCTCACCGTATGATTTTACAGTAATTATATTCTTTTCTTATTGGTAACTGGTGACGGAGGTTAAATGTTACATGGAGGAAAATTAAATAGTGATAAGACCGTGTCCATACTGTGTACTTCAATAGGGAAGCAGCATGTAGGTTTTTAATATATTTTATTGCTTCGGTAATGTGAGTGTCAGTAGTGCATAGTCCAGATAATTATCTAAGCAAGCTATTTTGTTTCTGCTTCAGAAGAGGTTTTGCAGGCATACCAAACTAGTGTCTTTTTGTATTTCTAGCCAAGTGTTACAAGAAGCAATGTTTAAACAAAGTAGTGATTCAGAAGAATATATTTTCCTTTAAAAGGACTTGCTTATTTTTGTAAGGATTTGCTCATCGTGTTATCGTGGTAAATTTGATTGTGGACAATAAAAACTAAATGTCATTTTACGTTTTATGAATGTATGACACGAAATATGCTCTGTTTCCTGAAGTTGCCTGGTTAATTGAGCAGAGGTTTCTGATGTTGATATGTTGCCTGACTGGGATTTGTGCTATTTATGGAGACTCAAGATATAACGTCTTCCTCTTTTCTTTTTATTTGCCAGACACATGGACAAGATCTTAGCACAATCTCACCAGCAAGCATCTTTGAGTCTATGTTTCAGAGCACAGATCACACCACAAATCAGGAAGACTCTAAGCAGACAGGTACAAATTGTATCTGCAATATTTTAAAGAAGTTTTTTGACAGCTTTCCCTCTCTGCACGCATATGCTTGGTTCAGCAACTCAAACTGAAGTCTGCTGCCCTACATAAGTTTAAATAGCAAACAGACAACTTCAGCTTCCACACTGCAGTGCTTTGGTGTTGAAATACATTCACAGATGGCGAAACACTTGTGCAATGGCAGGGGAACGAGCTGTGTATTTACAGCATGCCCTTGTTCAGTCCCAACACTGATGCTCTTGGATGTCTCATATAAATATCTTCTTTGAACTTTCTCTCTTGATGTAGCTGCACGAACGTGCTGATGGAGAAGGCTTTTTAGAGAGAGCTAATGGGGCCAAACAGTTTGTGTGTAGCATTCAGTGTTACTAGCTTCCTGAATTTGGACCTGCTTTTAGATTTCACTGTTTAGTACTATATGTTCTTGAACACTAGTCTGAAGACATGAAAAATGCCAGTGCTTTACTTAGCAAAAACCTGTTAGCTGGCTGTTAACTATATTGAGAGAGTTATTTATTCAGGTATGATGAGAACTGACGTATGTATACTTTTTCTTTGTTTCCTTTGACAGCTGCCTTGATTGAAGCTTTTAATGGTCACGCAGACTCAGTCACTGCTGTTCCGCCTTCTGCAGGAGATTCAGCATCGCTGTCACTTCCACTTGTACTGCAACTTGGCATCTCTGAGCCTTCACATTCAGCACTACAAGCCTCAGCAGCACCTGCTGCTCCCTCCTCCATAGGAACCAGCTCACAGCAAGCTGCATTTGGAAATCCTGCAACTGTTTTACAATCCCCAGAAGTGCCTGTTCCTCACAGCACACAGTTTGCAGCCAGTCACCAAGACTTCCTGCAGCACACTCAGACACCACCGCAGCCCATTGTACAAGGACTTTCAGTGGTTGCTGGGGCACCTGCCCCAACAGCATCAAGTGCCACTGAGCCCCTGCCAGCTGTAGTTCAGACTGTGCCTGTTGGTGCGAACTCTGTTCTGACTAGCAATCCAACCATAACAATTACTCCTTCTCAGAGCACCGCTATTCTGCAGTCCAGCATCGTCATGGGAGAGCAGAACTTGCAATGGATATTAAATGGTTCTCCACAAAGCCAAGAACAAATGGTTAGTATACTCAGCGTAGTTTTGAAACAGCTTGCACCATCCCTGTTCCTCCTAGAGTGAATGAATGGCTGCAAATAGTATGAGCAAGCATGACAGCTTCTTAACGATTCATTAATTCAGTTGTCAAAAACCACAAGCTGTGTTGACAGGCATGTAGTGCAGAGGGAGACAACTCATCATCTTCAGGACTACTGAAATAATATGCTTAGTTTTGGAATAGCCAGGACCAAATAAAACATTAATTAATTTAATGTTTTCCTATGTATTCTCTTTGGAGCATCTGCTTCTTTTGCATGCAGATATTTAGAGCTTGAACAACAGAAATTTGTTGGGAATTGACTCTCACTCTTTCTTATTCTTTTTTTTTTTCCTTTAAGCCACAAGTTCCAAAAGTAGTAGAAAAGGTCTTTTTTACCACTGCATTACCAGTAGCTGGCAACACAGGTAAGTATGTTTGATTCAAAAAAAAAAACCTTTTTTTCTTTCTGTTTGCCTATAATAGTATTAGCTTAACCAGGATGTGTGGTGATTTTAATTGCTTCCACAAGCAGTCTGCCTGTCAGAAAGGTGACATAGTGTTCTGTGTGAAAAAAATTTAGACCAGACTTCTAAAATCTGGGCTCAGCCTGTTCAGGTTGGCCGTTAGCAGAGAGTACCTGTCTGTATTTTTTTCTTGTTTACTTTCTTCTGAGGGTATTCATTATGTTTGAAAAAGTAATAAGTAGTCTCTCCTTTGAGGTGTCTAACGATGATTTGTTTCTCCCGTGGTGAGATTATGCTGTTTAGTTACGTGTGTTTTAACTTTGTTTCACCTTCAGGAAACCCTGTTCAGCAGATTGGTCTCAGTGTTCCTGTCATTATTATAAAGCAGGAGGAAGCCTGCCAGTGTCAGTGTGCCTGCCGAGACTCTGCCAAGGACAAAGTCACCATTAAGAAGGAGAATTCCTCACCTGAACCGAAGGCTTCGGAGCAGCCAGCTCCCCAGCTGCAGCCTCAGACCTTTCCTTCCTCTTCCTCTTCCCCTTCTCCCTCACGTGGGCAGAGCAGTCAAATAGTTAACCCTTCAGACTTACAGACTGAAACATTAAGTGCCATGGATGTATCGGACTTCCTGTCCCTCCAAAGTCCTGAGACCCCATCTAATATAATTCCAATCGAAGCACTACTGCAGGGTGAGGAAGACATTGGTCTGAATAGCAACTTCTCTAAATGAAGATGTTCTGGATTTTCTTTTGCACCTGGAGGGTAAAACCTTCCTCTTAGAAGCAGAAACTGAAGGATCGATTCTTTTTCCTTCCTCTTTGGAAGTTTTGTGGCTTATTTCTGCTTCACAGATGTCATCTTAGTCACGTCCCAGGTACATCCATCTTTAAGAATCTATCTAAAAATAGAAAAGGCAAAAAAAAAAAAAAGCTAAGTTATATATGAACTGTTTTGGCTGCACTGTCTGTCACTTTTGCTTGTCATATGTGAACACGGAAGTTAAGGTTACTCGTGTGCAAAAAGATTTTTAAAAGAAAAGGGGGGTTAGTTTGTCTCCAATTGCACATCACTTACATTTGGGCTTAAGGTACTGGCAGCGAGTGAGTCTTTGTTACAACTCCTTGGGTCTATGATTTTTCTTTTGTCTCTTATGTCTGATACTAACCATGCACTATAAGGGGAGCCCAGGACAGGAATTTGCTGTAGCAAAAAATGGTTTTGTTGTAGTAGAAGGTGATTTATCTGCAATTTTATTGGAATGCGATTGTCACGTCACTGAGCTGGGAGTTGATGCCTGGGTTTGCATTGTACTGTGGCTATTACTGAAGCCTACAGAAGAGTTTGGGGAGCTTATTGCAAGAGAGCATGAGGTACTTGTGCTCCTTATAGATCATTTAATTTAACTAGGACTTAAAATGTGGTGGCAGATGTATGGAAACACTATAGGAGCCCCCGCTCACTCAGACTCGAGAGTCTGTTTGCCTGTCTTTGAAGGATGCAGTGAGTTCCAGGTATTGTCAGATTGGTGCCTGCTGCTCTTCTGATTCATTTGGCTCTCTTCAGAAACGAGTCATCCTCTTAAACGAGCCCTCCAATCGATTAATCAGGAGCATGGTGCCTTTGCTGATTGCTCTCATCTTTTGTCAAGAAGAACTCTAGGAAAATTTTCAGAACGATTTCATGTAAGTTCAGTTTGGGTTCAGTGAGTTTCTCCTTCAGCTGCCCAGAAATGCTTCCTCTTTTCTGTTAAGCTATATAGTTTCTGCCTGAATCTGCCTCCAACCTAATGCAATGCCAGCTTTTTGTGCACGGGGCTATTTCTTGACTAAAAAAATGTTACACGACATAGTAGTTTTTCATATCAAACTATATTCTAACCTACTCAGGGTAAATAAAACACAAACCCCCCCTTCCACCAAAAAGCCTGTAATGTTGCAATAAATGCAGTCTCATTCTAAATGGTTTATTTATGCTGCATTATTTTAAAAGATGTAATTTTATAGTATTTTATCCATCTTTCTGGCTTTGGCTGTCAGTCTTTTGTGCTAAAGGAAAGAATATTAAATAGTCTTTATTCAGTTTACAGTGTTGTCATTAGTGAGATACAAAGATAACGACTATAAGCCAATTAAGTGGACTGTCTCTGTGCACTAAATTTAGGAATGCAAACTCCTAGTGGATAGAGATCTTTCACTCTTCTTTGCTCCTATCTGATCATAGCCGCTGTCTGCACCTGTGGGGGGGAGTGATATGAATGCAGCCAGATCTCCCCAAGATAACCTGATGATTTTGAAGGCTTTTTAACTCTCTTGTGATGTTCCCTGTGCAGCCTTACCACACCACTGTCAGTTTTAGCTGAGACGGTGGCTTAAGCTATCTCACTGTCTTGCAAATGCACTGCCATGGCACAGCTGGAAATGGGCTGAAAGGAACTGGCTTTTCACCTCTGTGTCAACTTGCTTCCAGTTGTTAAATGCAGAAGGGTAAAACAAGGGTTGTCCATCCAGGTGAGCGAGGAGAGACTCTGGAAAGTGCTGTGTCACTCTGCTAGGACAGAACATTCTTGCTGATTGCAGTGATGAGTTTGGAGGCATCACCTGAACTGGAAACACGCTACTGATGTTTCCTGTCTGGGAGTGCTGGCTCACACTGCAGGGCTATGCAGTCTATTACAATGGGGATGTGGGTCCTGCAGCAATAAGGTTTGCATCCATGAAACATGGATTAACAAAGCACCTGATGTTTTGTTCTTGTAATGGCAATCCCTCGAGGACAGTGTGGTGGTGTGGTCCCCTTTGTTTTTCTTTTCCCCATAGTAACATTTTGTGATGCAGTCTGGTTGTGTGGCAGCAAGAACTGCTTTCAGCACAGAAGAAACAGCCTCAAGTCTGCGTGAGTGGAACTGTTTCCCCTTGAGTGAGTCTCCTTGCCCCTTTCCTTGGCATAGTGTGGCACTGGTGCATGAGGGTGGGTGGATGTAATTGTGTGTGTGTGTGTGCACGTGAGAGTTTGCTAATGCAGGAGCACATAGATTCCCCTTGAGGTGTGGGGTTTTCTCTGATGGGGACAAGATGTGCCCTGAAATGTGACAGCTGAGAGGTTTAGCAACCTTTTCTGAGCCTTTCCATCCTTCAGGGAAGCATTTTTTCCTTTCTAGTCTGGCTACTTGTGACTTAGTTCACATAAAACATGCTTGTGATTAGGCCAGGTAGCATCTTCAGAAACTCCCTTGTGGTAGAAATGAGTGAAAAAACATCTGCCAAAGGCTTTGAAATTAGAAGTTAGTTTGGAGGTGTGGTGATTAGCAGCAGCAAGATGCTGCATACATCCTTTCTGAGTGGAGATAAGAGGTTAACCCCTCTGCTGCTTTCTCTTCACAGCTACTGTTTCATATTGGTGTTTTAGAAAAGCAATGCGTTCCAGGTTTATACTGACTTTTAGGTGTGTTGGGTTTGCAGTTTTCCTCTTTATATGCGTGTCAGACAGGTGTTGATTTAGATGAAATTAATTAAAGCTTGTAATAAGGGAAGAAGAGTGTGATTCTGAGTGCACGGGCTGTGAGCTGTGCATCCCAGCTGTTGTGTTGTACAATACTTGCTTTTGTTCTTTCGCTGTTGGTCTGTTTTCTACACGTTGTGTATCTGATATGTTTCACATTTGCATCATCCCCAGTGCTGTGTGATCAAACGTTGTGCTGCTGGGTGGTTGTGAACATGCTTGGAAGGGAGGAGGTGTGTGAGCAGATGGCATGAGAGGGCAGTCAATCACAGCAAAGCCCGGTGATTCCTTGGTGCCAGGGAGCTTATCATAGGATCGTTTGAGTTGGAAGAGCCTCTTAAAGGCCATCTAGTCCAATCCCCTTGCAATGAATGGACATCTACAGCTCCATCAGGTGCTCAGAGCCCGGTCCAGCCTGACCTTGAATGTCTCCAGGGGTGGGACATCCCCCTCCTCTCTGGGCAATCTGTGCCAGTGCCTCAGCACCCTTATTGTAAAAACAAAACACTTTTTTTATAGCCCCCCTTTAAATATTGGAAGGCTGATATCAGGTCTCCCTGGAGCCTTCTCTCCTCCAGGCACGGCCACAGCTCTCAGCCTGTCATTGCAGGGCGGTGTTCCATCCTTCAGATCATTTTTTTGTGGCCCTTCTCTGGATGTGCTCCAACAGGTCTGTGTCTCTCCTGTACTGGGGGCTCCATGTCTGGGCACAGCACTCAGGGTGAGGTCTCACCAATGCAGAGCAGAGCCAGCAGGGCAAGGGAGGTGTGATCCTGCCCCCATGTTGCTTTGAATGCAGTCCAGGATACAGTTGGCTCTCTGGGCCGTGAGGGCACAGTGTTGGCTCATATCCTTTACCCCCAAGCCCTTTTCAGCAGTTTGGTGTCATCTGCAAACTGCTGAGAGTGCACACCACCCCACTGTCAGTGGCACTGATGAAGATGTTTAAGAGCATCGACCCCAATACTGACCCCTGAGGGGCGGCGCTTGTTGCCCCAGCTTTTAGCATTTTCATAATGTTTTTATTAAAAAGTGTGGAGCTTCTGTCACTGTAGATCTGGTAAGACATAGGATTTCCTGCTAGTGTGCTGGAGCCTCTGAGAGCAGTGTGTCCTCCCTCTGTAAAACCTGTATTTCATGAATTCCTTGAATTATCATCAGTCAGAGAGCACAACTGCTCTAGGTCCACCTGTGTTAAAGGATTTGCTGTTTTGTGGCTTGTGGGGATTTATTGGTTACTTACGTTTTCTGTATGAGTGCAGAAGCTGAAATATGTAGAATGGGTCTGGTTACCAACATCGGCCAAGCAGTGACCCAAGCAAGCAGACTTGGCATGCAGTTGAAGGCTGTGGAAGTTGCTTTTCATGCTTCTAGTTGGTAGAGGAATGGAAAATCAGCACTCTTGAAATGCTGGTACTGAATTACATAGAACAAAGTACGAATTGGGCACTTCTGTAATGCTGACTGTGTCCAGAAAGACTAGTTCGCAGAACCTCATACTGGTATCTAAAATGCACTTTAGGTTATTTTATCTTTAACCCAATTGCTGCAATTTCTTTTGTATATACTTTCACAAAGTTTATTTTCGCTCTGAGTAAAAGTTAACAGGGGTGTGCAAAGATGAGCACTTAACTCGGTGCAATACTTGTAGCTAAAGATCATTGTCCCATGTGGTCAGTCTGTCTGTGTCTGTCTAATTGAATATATATAATAACTACTAGCTCAGTGACATATAGCCCTACCCTGTCTATATCCAAGAGAAATTATGCATCGTTAGCAAATGTCCGATCTATGCAAATATTTCACTGAGAGCACTGTGCTTTAGCAGGCCTTTTCTCTCACGCTTTCTGGTGAGCTGCTTGTCACTTCTGTTGGAAATCAGTACTTTCTTCCAGCCACGATCCTGGCTTTGTCCTTTCTCCTCCCTCCTCCTGTCCCAGGAGTGTGAACAGAAGTGACAAGCTGTTCCAAAACAGGCATGTTGCACCTTTAAAATTTGTCTTTGCCAGATCATTTTGATGTCATGTTATCTGCCTTACTGCGGAAGGTGGCACTTCTCTGTCATCTGAGATATCGTGTTTGCAACTGCAGCAACATTGTTAAACTGTTTACAGTACTCTTCCCACGACGACTATAATTAAGACACTGAGAATGAACTAATGATTGGCGTGCTGGTTGTGGAACTGCTGGGGGGAAATTAGTTGGGCAGTAATTGACCTTGAAGTTGATTAGAGATGAAAAGCTGTTCCTGATGGGTCGGGGTTGGAAGCACAGGTGGTAACTGGAGCAAGGGGCAGCCAGGGCTGTGCTGCAGCTTGGTGCCATGCTCCTCGTGTTGCTGGCTGGCTGTGCGACCTCAGGCACGTCGCTCAGCTCTCCAGGCCTCAGTTTCCTCCCTGTAAAAAGGAGGATGTTGAAACCTGTCTTTGTAAAAATGAGATCGGTGTGACGAGTCCTTTGCATCAGCGATCTGAGCTAGGTGGGCAGAAATGTGAGAGTCAATTTGGACTGTAAGGCAAAAAGGAAGAAAAAAAAAAAAAGCATGTCTTTAATAAACCCTGCAAATTTCTGGTTGCATAGTTTTTAATTGGTATACTATTTTCTCCTTAGCGTATTTTGGAAACAATGTCAAGTTTTTATAAATGTTACCTGTAGCTGATCCTCATGGACAGGGCTGAACTTTTAACTTTTTTGCGTCTTGTCTTGATATATATCTCATGTTCTAGGAGTTGGAATCTGTGTCTGCACTGAGAAATGCAAATTAAACTGGATATTTATGTAGTAGTGTACATAGTCTAAGTGTGTGTGTTCTTGGAACTAGTTTAAAAATCCCACACCATGCTTTTAGTGGTGTGCAAGCTGGCCAAAATTTGGTTCATTATGCAGTGTACACTTTCTCAAATAAATGCCATTTCTACTTTTTCTTACAAGAAATTTTTTTCATACGATCTTTTTCAGCAAAATCAAAGGTATGTTTCTGCAGTACCGTAGTTACAGTAGCTGGTATTTCTTGCTGTGTCGCTTTGTGTCCTTCCACTTGCTTCTAGAACCGGAGCTGTGTCTGACCCTTGTTGTGGAGAGTGGCAGTGGTTGTGTTTCACACCAACTAGCATCAATAGGGCAGGCAGGGATGTGTGAACCTCAGGCCTGGTCAGTTACCCACGTCAGCTTCGGCATTGATATCTGCATAACAGCCAACCCGGGACGTCCAGGAGAACATAGGCTGTCTAGTGATTGCTTTTGTTTTGTTTGACACGTGTGGGGAGCTGGGCAATGATCTTGGAGATGATAAAATAAAAGAAAACCCCAGTTTTTTCAAGAATGTGTTTATGGTATTAAAGGAATTTATTTAACTATGAAACACGGGAACAAATGTGCTTACATTGAGCAATGTGAAGATGTTAGTTACAGGTACAGTACTTCCAAAGGAAGAGCATCTCCAAAACCCCCCAAAAAAGAGTAAATATGAATTTGTATTTTTTGAAGAATGTAAAATGTGAAATAATGGTGTTTGCTTAATTGCTCATTTTGTATGAAGTTAATATTGTACTTTGAAATATCGACAAAGAAGTGGAAATTAACTTTTTTTGGAATTGAAAGCAATATTAATACTAATGGAATCCTAATTAAATGCTTATTTAAACACTGTGTTACAATAGTCTTTACTCAGGGTCCTGACAAACTATTTGGGAGATAAGCATCAGCATCGTTCCTTCTACCACACGTCAGCACTTTCTAAGTTCGAAATCAGTTTATTTTTCAACTTTTGCTGTTTAATATAACACCACAGGGCTTTTTATTCGCTCCATTCCCCTGGAGCTCTCATCTTCCTCCTAGAATGGAATGAGCGCAATAGAAACGCCTGCCCCTCCCCCAGCTTATTACAATGGCGGCCGGAAGTGCAGCGCGGCGCCTCCCTGTGGCGGCCGGAAGTGCAGCGCGACACCTCCTTCCGGCGGCCGGAAGCGGAAGTGGCTCTCACATGCTGAGAGTGCAGCGAGCGGCGCTGGCGGGGTTGGTTCGGGCCGCGGAGGGTCCGCCGGGCCCTGGCCACGCACGCAGCTCCTGCTTGCTGCCTCTCCCCGGCAGCGCAGCCCGGCCGGAGCCGCGAGGTGTGGGGAAAGGACGCGGTGGGGGCTGATGAGCGGCGGGAGGCCGGGCCTGGGGGAGATGGGAGGCGGGAGATCCCCGGGGTGGGAGGCTCAAAGCGCGGAGGCCGCCGATGAGAGCCCCGCGCGGGTTCGGTTGAGGTTCCGGACTGAGCCGGCGGTGTCCGCAGGATGGAGGGAGGCGGTGGCAGCCGCCGTCGGTGCCCTGCAGGAGGGCGGGCTGGTGGCCGTGCCCACGGACACGGTGTACGGCGTGGCCTGCCTGGCCCAGGACTCCCGCGCTGTGCGGAGCATCTACAGCCTGAAGGGGCGGAACGGGACGAAGCCGTTGGCCATCTGCCTCGGGGACGTGGAGAACATCTACAGGTGAGCTTCCTCGGGGGGCTGTGGCCGCATGCAGCCTAGCATGTGGGCTCTGTGTGCTCCCACCAGCTTGTGGGACCCGTGGGGTAGGGCTTATGCAGCTGGCTGCCCCTCTCTTGCTCTGTAGGTACTGCCACGTGAATGTGCCAGATGAACTGCTGCAGGACTTGCTCCCGGGACCTGTGACTCTGGTCTTAAAGCGATCAGAAGAACTAAATAAAGACTTGAACCCTTTTACATCGGTAGGTCTTTGCCACGGCATGCATCTTAGTGTTTATTATGGTTGATATGCTGTTGTGATGTTTCTGCTGTAGTAGCTTTAATTCCGATTCGTAGTTAACAGTGATTATTTTTCTTGTTATTGCTTGTGTGGCAAGTGTTGGTGTATTAATTCCCTGAAATGTCAGCTTTCGGTCAAGGGCTTTAGGCAAAGCAAGATTAAAAAGGTCTGTGGTTACTGCATGTAAAACATGCTCTCTTCTTCCTTGTAGTTGGTTGGTGTTCGCATTCCAAACCACCCTTTTATTAGGGAGCTGGCACGAGCTTGCCCTGGACCATTGGCTTTAACAAGTGCTAACGTCAGCAGTCAGGCGAGCACGCTGACGGTTTCGGTAAGGCTGCTTTTGCTACTAAGTGAGATTTTTGTGGCAGGTTGTCAGAGCCCGAGGCATTCATAATTGGAAGCCGGCGTTAGTAGTAAAACAAGGATTTCTCTGCTTGTTTATTTCCTTGTTTATTTAAATGTCAGTCTGTTGTTAAAACAGCCTGCAGATCTGTATTGTGGGGCAAGTGTGGTTGTAAGGTCTGTGATCCTCACCTTAAAAAGTGTGGAAGGTGGGGCTTAAAAGTAATATTTACATGCTTATACTTCCTTTTGAAGTGAGTGCCAAAGCTGAAAGAGAAGAAATTGCTATAGGAGGGTTGGATGTGGAATGAGAATACTGCTATCTGTACAGCTCCTTGCAGCTTGAGAACGAGCTCATGGAGATGTCTTCTTGATAAGCTGTAGACCCTGGTGGGGATATAGTTGAGCATGGTACCAAAAGTACACTTTTTTGTACTAAAATCATTGCTAATTTTTGTGTATGTGCTCTTAAATAAACAGTGCTGCTACCATACTGTTTTGGAGCTGAGAAGCGTTGTAGTTTTTCTATAGATGTAAGGTAAATCTGTTCTCAGATGTCAAACTGGGATGTGTTTGTGACAGAGAAAAGAGAGTGACAGTAAAGAGGCCGTCTTCCTGACAACACTGTTCAACAGGATTGGTTGGAATGTGGTCACAAACCACCTTCAGGATTGTTAGCCATATCTCTTATTTCTCCAGGAATTCCAAGACCTTTGGCCTCAGTTGTCCTTAGTTGTTGATGGAGGCCCAATAGGGGACGTCCAGAGCCCTGAATGTCGTTTGGGGTCAACTGTGGTTGACTTATCTGTGTCGGGGAAATTCACCATCATTCGTCCTGGCTGGTAAGCACTCTTTGCTATATATACATGGGCAATGCTTTTTATTTAAATGAAATGAAGCTTTCAAGTTATGGTGGGTCCTATTTTATTTGTTTCCTGCTACTGGTTAAACCTTCAGATTAAAGTCATTTAACTCAATTACCAGCATACTCAGAACTCCTGAAGGAGCATTCCAAATGCTGAGCCCAGGAGACTCCTTTCTAGAAGCTTCTACACAAAACATCCTTGTTTCTGCACTTCATGTTCTCCTTAATTCAAAATGACTGTGTTTTTTAGCTGGTTGCTCTTTCACAAAAAAAAAATAACGCAATTTAATCCTTGGAAAAACATTTTTTCTGACAGTTGTGTTTCATTTCCCCCCCAGTGCACTGACATCTACAGTTGATATCCTGAGGCAGAAGTATGGCTTGATCCCAGAATCATCTTAAGACTTCAGACTCTGAGGCTCTACAGAGCTGGTAAAGCTGGACACTATGTGCCTGTGCATTCAGCAGACGGTATTAATGACCTTGTTTAATGAGGTTGATGAGTTGTGTCAGGTCAGTAAACAAAGGTAATGAGAGTAACAGTTGATGGGTGTCTGTTAATTAGTGTTACCTCTACCGAATCCTGAGAAACTATTTATGCTAAACTCTTTATGCTGCTGTACAATTTCCAAATACCTGTTTTAGTAATGTGATCTAAAATAAAATAATTTGAATATTAGACTGTTTTCAGGATGGCATGATGTCACTGATCCTCCCTGCCCATAAAACTCGTTCCCTGTGTCTGTTTATTGCATCACTTACAAAGCTCAGGTACTTAATTAGACTGTGTATGGAGTCATTGTGAATAGAACCCTGTTTCACATCCTGAACTGCTGCTTCTCATTTTATTGATACAAGTATAAGCTAATTTATGGCTCGTTTAGAAGGGTCCCAGCATATTTTAAACCACAAATAGAGGTCTAGTGGAAATGCTGAAGCAGTGATGGAGCACCTGGTGGGAAGGCAGGGCCAACCCAGGGGAGCTCAGCTGCAAGCAATGCACTGAGTGACCAGAATGAGTAGAGCCAGGTTGCACCCCTTCCTGGCCCTCATTTAAGGGTTGGCAGGGGAGGTAGGGGATGTCTTGCTGGAGATCCCTGAGGCCTTCTGAAGGTAAGAAGCTTCTTTCTTTTATTTCTCTGCCTACATCTGTTGCATTTGAGCAAATCCTCACTTGCTGTAGCCTAGGTCCTTGCTGCTGTGCTTTCCATCATGTTATAAGAAGGAAAGCTACTGTGAGCTGAACTTTCAAACAATGAATGGTGTTTTCAGCAGTGTTTTTATTGCAAGTGGTTTGTTTTGTTTTATTTTGGTTTGGTTTTTTTTTCCCCTTGATTCTAAAGGGAATAAAGCAACTTCATGTCTAAATTTTCAAAACTTGGAGCAGTAAACAACCACTGAATAACTTTTAGTAGAGATATGGTTGCATTTCCTTGGGCAGCATGTAGAGCAGTACGGGTAAATAGCCACTAGTATTTGGGCTGTAATTATCTTGAGTTATTTGGATACAGTAAGCCATATTAACAACACCTAGCACAGAACTTTTTGGTGTAGAAGAGCTTGGATGAACCAAACTGTATGGTTTAGTTTCACCTACAGTAAACAATTTAGAGGACCTTTTATTTCTTTTTTGCAGCCAGCTGGTAAGGAAATGCTTTTGAAGTTGCTAGTGGAGTGAGGGATCTGTGGTGGCAGCAGACCAAGGGCTTAAGGTAAAATGCATACTGGAACCCAGCTAACTATGTCAAACATCACAGAACATACACACCATAAGAAAAAATGGATCTTTGGCCCTGAAGCCAGCACCCCCATGCATTGCAGAAGAGCTCTAAAAAGGTCATCTCTGCTACATCTGCAGGAAGTTAGACTTTGCTGCTGCTTAGAGATTTCCTACTCCTTGTCATTTTTCCTCCTGTGGGTTGAGAGCTGGAACTCTTGCAGTCCTTGGGGTGCTTGCAGGCTGCTGCAGGTTCAGTGACCTGCCTGTCTGTGCTGCAGCTCTGTCGGTGGGATGGCTTTGAGTAAGGCAGATGCTGAAGTCACATCAACCACTGCTCTTTCTCTTTGCTGAAATGTTCTGCCCACCTGCGGGTCAGCTCCAGGTACATGTTGGGCTGATGAGGAAGGTAGTCCAGGTAAAGGCGTGTCAGGGTCTTCTTGGGAACAGCTTTCTCAATCTGGGTGCCTTCGTGCCATTCGTTGAAGGATGTGATGGAGACAATCTCTGGCCTGACCATGAGAGCAGCCTGCAGAGCTGTTTCATAGTACTTCCCATTGACTCTGTTCCGAGTGTTGTGGTTGTTCCAGGGGCGAATGCTGGTGTCAATGTAGCCTGGCCCAACACTGGGGATGAACATCAGGTTGTTGGAATCGCAGAAAGTTTTGATGGCTTTCCAGTTCTGGTGGGATGAGCCAAAAGAGAAACCATTGGATGCAAAATATGTGTACATGCCATCGTATCCTGCAGACAGGATATCCTTCTTGTGCCCTTCCTCCACCAGCAGTGCTATGAACACAGCGTCATAGGCGGTGTTACGGAGAGAATGGGAGCCTGATGGTGTGAGAAGGTTGGCCCAGGATTCAGCTGGTGTCAAGTAGGAATCATAGATATAAAACAGCGGAAGGCTCCTGCCAGTGCTGGTCTTGTACTTATAAAAAGCAGCATGAGATCCGTATCTACAGAGAGAGCAGAAAGCTTTTTCAGAGGCTGGAGTGATAAGCCCTCAGTAGGTACTGCTGTTAGAAGGCAAGTGTGATGTGAGGCTTGGTTTGCCACAGGGGCCTCTGCTCAGAACCTTTCTCTGGAACCCTTATCTCCTCCTTTCTGGGAGTGCTTTGTAACTGTGGTGTTTGTTACCTTACTTCCCTTTTAAAGGAAAGAGTAGAGGTGACAGGCTTAGAAACCTGAACAGAAGAAAGCAGCTTTGGGCTCTAGAGGCACTGGAGAAAGTGGGATTTGATTACAGCTCCTGCTGCTCAGCACTGCTTTGTTGGCTAGCTGTAGGCAATCCTCACTGCGCACTGCTTTTTGGATACTGTTCTAATGCATTTAATTCAAAGCACACTGTTTTTGCTTAAAGCAGCACTCCACAGCTGGATTTCTGCCTACGTGAGAGACTTACTTGTCCATGATGTATTTGATATTCTCATGCACTGTGTGGTCATCGCGCCCTTTGTACGGCTGGATGTGGAAGGCGACCTTCAAAAGAGGAGGTGGTAGAAGGGGTTATTTTCAGCACAGTCCCATTGCTCCCTTTTCACCCTGACCTCCCAGATGGTCCCAGAGCTGTTGCAAAGGACCTTCTGTCCCCTGCAGGTGAATGGGCTGGGGGGACCCCTGTGTGACACGTGTGGGCAGCCTGCTCAGAGATGTCAGAGCTTTCACTGCTTTTCACTAAAGTTAGTGGGAAGTAAATTGTGAATCCTAATAATTAAGGGAAAAAACCAAAACAACAACCCTTAGTATTTAGCTGAAAAACTGTTCCCATGAAATAAGGAGAGCTCTTACATGGAAGCACTCATTTACTTTACTACTAACTGAAGCAGAGGAGTGGAACCTTTGCCCAGGCATAGTGTCAGCTTCATGTTGGAGCTGAACACTGAGTTCATTGGCCTCTGACAACAGACAAAAGCGTTACCTTTATGGCATACCGTTGTGCAGCATCCAGTATGAATGGCACGAGGCTGTCTGATGGTTCCCCATTATCATCTGCTAGGCCGGGTGGGTACCACGACAGAACCAGCACTCCTGTGGGAACACAACCACGGATTGCTCAGACGTTTGGTTTCTAAACTTTTCCTCCTCCCATGCAACGGCAGCGAGGTAACTATTTCATGGCATTGTAATGCTCGAGGTGCTCCGTGCGAGGTTTGGTTGGAAGAGCCTCTAAGCACTGCTTTGTGTTGTTGGCTATGGGATGGCAGAGGGCAGTGGCAACAGCCGTACGGGATGCTGAGCCCGCCCGGTGCGGGGCGGGGGGGCCGAACTCCGCATCCCGGGGCGCTGCGGGAACGGATCCGGGCTGCGGTGCGTCCCGCTGCTTACCGATGGCGGCGGCGCGGAGCTGGCCCATGTGCTCGTCCACCACGGCGGGGTCCCGGGAGCTGTAAGGGCCGAGCGCAGGGTAGAAGCTGGAGCCGATGTCATCGGGCGGGCGGTGGCGGCCCCGGGGGTAACTGGCCGACACTTTGGGGTCCCAATGCGGCACCAGGGCGTGATCCCAGTGCAGGTAGCGGCCCTCGAAGCGCGGGCTGCCGTACCAGGCGTAGTAAAAAGCGTGCAGGTCGTAAGACGGGCCGATCCCCGCTGCCGGCTCGCGGGCTCCGGGAGGAGCGGGCGGCTCTGCCAGCCCCGGCGCTCCGGCGGGGAGAGCATCGGCAGCGCGGAGCGTGCGCAGCGCCAGCACCGTACCGAAAACGAAGAGAGCGGCCAGCAGCAGGGCCAGCCCTCCGGGCCGCCGCCGTCTCCGCATCGCCTGAGCTCCCGCTGCCGGATCCCCGGCTCGGAGGAGGCTGCTCAGGCCCGGCTCCGCGGAGGATGCTCGGCCTGGCGGGGGACGCCTCGCTCCGGCCGGGCGCTGCTCTGATTCTCGCCTCCCGGCCCCGTTCGGTGGCTGCGTTCTCTTTGGTGCCCCCTGCTGGCGGCGGCTGGCAATGCAGCGCCTCCGCCCCGCTCGCCCCCAGCCCCGGTTCGGCCGCTCCCAGCAGCGCCGCGCCGTCGGAACCCCGCGCTGCCCTGCGAGGAGCCGGGAGCTCCTGCATCGGAGATGTGGGCAAACCAGGAACTGCCGCGGTGCTGGGAGCGGTGGTGATGCAGCTCCCTGATCGCGGCCCCGGATGGGGAAGCGGCTGCAGCGCACTGCGGGAGGACGCGGCTTCTATCTGTGCTCGTTCCCCGAGTGAAACAGTTGAAACGAATGGCTGGTGAAGGATTAAACTTAAGGAAAGGTGAACGCGCCCCAGCAAACGCTGAGATGTGACTATCCGGGCTGCTAAAGGAAATAACATTTTAATTGGGTGAATCTGTTATGCACAAATGTTACAGGCGATAAAACTCCTGCTAAATGGAAACCCAGTAATGAGATAAACCTGTCGAGGGAACAAATTGCCCGTAAACCACAAATGGGCTTCTGAGGCTCCCCAGCAGGGATGGGCCTTCCATTATTTCGCTCAGCTGAAGCTCGTGCCGCCCCATGGCACTGAAAGCTTCTGGCAGCAGTTCCTACCTCCATCCATCCCTGCGTGGGGCTGTGCTCTGTGGGTGAGCAGCAGGAGTTTGTCCTTCAGAACTGGATGTGGGTTTTGGCTGGGTCAGGTGGAGGTGAGGACTCACCGCAGAGCTGGGTGTGCAGGATGCTGAGCACCACTCAGCAGGGCAGAGAGATGCCTGGCTCACACCTCTCTGGCTTCTGCTTTGGCTCAGTTAGAACAGAAACGCAGCTGTGTTTTCTTAAGGGACCTCCTGGTTGCAGGGAGAGATTGGAAGCCATGGGCTGAGTGTACTTAGAGACTCTAAGGCGAATAAAAGCCTGACCTGTTTCCCCCCATTTAGTTCTCAAATCCCTCTAGGACCCTTTGTGTTGTGATTTGGGAGGCCTGGTTCAGCTCGGGGTTGATGCTCTGTGTTTGTTTGCCAGCTGCCACGTGCCTGGGCTCTGCAGGCACACTGTGAGCCCCTGTCTGCCCTTTGCCCCTCACGTGCTGCCATCTGCTTGAGATGAGGACCCTTTCTCATGTCAACTTCGCACATGGGGGCAGGGTGTGCGGCTCAGGACATCGGCTGTAATGTGTTCTCAGCCTTTTGCTTTTTCAGAGTCGTTATTTTCATTTGCTGACATAGAGAATGTGGGATTTTGTGCTTTTCCAGGTGTACTGGAACACTGGGAGCTGCAGGGCTGTGTGGCTGCTTCTGGATGGACTGTATAAACCTGCTCTGTCCAGCCCATCATCCCACAAAGTAGCTGCCATCATTTTCTTCCAAATCGCCACCTTCAGGCTATCACAGAGGTCAGGCTGCAGAGAGGGCTGCTCCAGGGAGGCAGGAAGAGCCTTTTCTTTCTGTGTCTGGTGCCAAGGACACTGGATAGAAATCTGCAGACCAGAGAATCTGCCATCACTCTTCTCCATCTGCGAATTCGATGTCTTTTGAAATGCTGACATTGAATTTCTGAAGCAGCAGATGAAGGGGCTGAAGGTGGGGCGGAACCATTTAGAGACCAAATACTTGGAAGCAATGAGCAGGAGGGTGTGATGTGCCAGTCGGGGGGTGCTAAGGTCCCACCACCACTCCCCATGTGGCTCAGCTCTGGCATGGCACAGTCAGAAGCTCTGTGCTCCCAGTGGGTTTTGGTTCCCAAATTCCCCAAAATGATTTCACCACGGCACCTGTTACTACTGTACTGTGATGATACTTGTCCTGGCCAGCTCTCCAGCTGGTTTCATCCGATGCCATCCATCTGTAGATGGATCTGTGCAGCGTGCCTGCAGCCTTCTGCTCCCTGGAGCTCTGTCTGACCACTAGATAGTGCTCGGCCACCAAGGGAGTGCTGGAGCAGCCCAGCAGCGTGCTCTGTGCTTCAGAGCATTGAGCAGTGGGCGCTGAGTGGAGCACGAGGCAGCAGCTCTGCTTGGTGCACGCTGAGCCCACGCTGCGATGATTTTTCCCGGTGTCTGAATGCTGTGGTTATGTATCTTTATTGCTCGCGAGCAGCTGTCTCTGTTGCTGCTAATGGACTGTAATACTCACAGAGCTGACCCCAAAATGATGGCTTCAGAGAAATTGCTGTCTGCCGAGCTGCTGCTGGAGGAGTCAGGGAGCAGAGGGATGTGAGGGGCTGCCATCTGCTGAGCGTGTGCGTGAGGGGTCCCTCCTCTGAGCCCTTCCCCTGCCTTGTCTTCCCAAATCAGATCCCTGAAGCAGAGGGAAAAGAGAAAGCGATCACTTCTCATTGTTCTGCTTGCTCAGGACCCTCTCCCCTACTAATTCTGCTGCTTTCTGTATTTGCATAGGGAGCCTATCCCCCCCTCCATCTCATTCCTCACTCCTCAGCTATTCATTGATCCTTGCCAGCCTCCTCCAGCGCTCATTCATCACTCTCGCACCCGCCATCCACTTTCCAAATGTTTCCTATTTTTTCAGTGATGTATTTCCCTGCTCAGACAAGCTAATCTCATGCCATCAATAACCCGGGTGCAGCTGCGTTCTGACCTCTGCACCCAGGCTGGCATAGAGCAGCAGAGCTGTGGAGACCAACAGAGCTGAGCCACATCCCCTGGGTGCAGGATGTGTGTTGGCTGTGTGCTGGGTGCCTTTGCTCCTCCAAGACCAAAAAACTGGAAGTCTTTAAGGAGCTGTAGAAAAGCCATGAGGCAGAGCAAACTTTAGAGAAATCCTTGCTTTGCTGTCTGCTCCGGGGTGCCCAAAGCCTTGTCTCTCTCTCCTGACCTCTGTGAGGGCCGAAGGGAAACGTATTGATGTCAGTCTGTTTGTGGCTCATCCCAGGCTGCTGGTGCTCAGCGTCCCTGCAAGTGACAGCTTTATTTGTGCTGCTGGCAGCAGGAGGATGAGCTGTGTGTCAGGAGGGTGGGATGGTTGGTGACCCCTCTCCTTCACAGGAGATGCAGGCACTATCAATTACTGGCTTCTGGGTGTCCGCAGGCCATTGTGGCTGTCATGATGATGTACTCAGCACCAGCTAAGGCAGCCAGCCCTTGTGACAGCATTTGGGCACTGTCAGCAGCACGGAGCGAACCCAGGCAGATTTGGGGAGGGGGAGGATGGAGGGGAGTGGATGTGAGCAGAAGCTGCTGCTGGCTGAGAATGGCTCAGCGGTTTCCCATGAAATCAGATGGTGCGATGTAATTGCAGGAGATGCAGCAGAGCTCAGAGCCCACGGACGGGAGGTGCTGCCTCTGCAGGGCTGTGCGTGAGGTGGAGGTGCTGCACAGAGCATGCATGCAGCTGGGGCAGTGCAGAGGGCTGCAGTGTCTCAGCATGAGGTTACGCAGGACAGATCTGCCTTCATACTGAGCCCCAGATCTGGGGATTCCCATCACAGGATGGCTCTGCACTGAGCTGAGGCTCCCTGGGGAGCATGAAGGCATTGGTTTTGATGCTTATTTGGTGGTGTTGGTACATCCCTGAGCAGGGACCTGCTGCTGGGCAGGCTGTCTTCCAGCCAAATCATGGTGCTGGGAGGTGGGGGGGAAGTGGGATGATGGTGATCAGAGCACTGCAGGCGATGAGATGTGTTGTGCAAACGCACTCCTCACGATTAGGACACGCTGATCAGACAAACAGCTGCTGGAGTTGGGGGAGCTGCCTATTTAGATCTTGTAGGTGGAACTATAAACATTTCCCTGAGCCAATTCACGGGAGCTGTGCAGTCAGGGTGACTCTTGTGTTTGCAACCCTTGTTGAAATCACACTGGTGTGAGCACTCGGAGCAGGAAGTACTCAGCTTGCATTTTAATGAGCACTTGACCTCCAAATAAAAACGTATCTTCAGAACCTCGTTAGCAGAGCAGCTTCAGACTTATCCAGCAGAGATCCCAGGAGCTGCACTGAGCTCTGGCCCTGTCCATGGCAGAGGTGGGGGTGTGAGGTACCACTGCAGCATGGGGGGGTCCTGAGGCAAAAGGCCTCGCTTTGCAGCTCTGCAAAACCTCAATTCCACTCAAGGCAGAGCAGCCACAGAGCATGCTGTGCTGTGTTAATATATGGGGGGTTTTGCAAGGGGTCTTTCGTGGTCGTGGGGCCCCAAAGGGGACCTGCTGTCACATAGGCTGGGTCCCTTATTTGGTCAAGAAACCATTTATGAATAACGAGGCAGTTGATAAGTTTCTAATTAGCATTTAACGTTTGCTATGTGTTATTAACCTGGCAGGGCACAGCACACCTCCTCACAGCTCGTGGGCTGTTGAGATTGCTTTTAGGCTCCTGATCACCTAGGAGAAGCAGCCTTCCCAAGGCACAGTGTCAGTTTGCTGACGAGTTTGGATTAATTGCTAGAGGCTCTGAATTTATTGCCCAGTGTCACTGCCACCAGTGCAACACTTCCAGAAGGAAGCAGCCTTGACTGGGTCCTGCTGTCCCAGACAGCTGCCAACACTGTCCATGGAGAAGTTCTGCTCCTCCTCCACCAACCAAGCTCTGAAATGCTGCTTCTCAGCACCCTCATTCCACAATACAGAGCAAAGACAACCAGGCTTGGGCTAATTAAGATAGAAACATAACGTTACAATTTGTAGCTGATTAAATCTTTCAAACAATATTTATGTTAATCTCCTTCTGATTTATTTTCTTGTAATGCCTCACATAGGAGATAACCCAACGTGTGGGGAAATGGTTCCAGATGGAGCGTGGCCCGCCTTGCCAGATGCTTGGAGCTGGGGATGAGGATTTGTCACTGGTGGCTGCAGCTGCAATAGTCAATTCTGTCCATTTAGGCCATTTTTGCACGTAGGGAGGGATGCTGAGCAGCAGTTCTGCTTTTATCCCCCTCAGTGTAAGATGCTGTGAGGTGCTCTGGTGCTCATGGAACACAGGGGATGAGGACAGGACTGCATGCAGAGCTGTGCCTGCAGGCAGGATGGCTCCAGAGGTCAGGGGGTTTTCACTGTGGAATTGTTAAATTAACTATTCATTTAATTATATTGTGATTAAATTAGATCCTTTCTCTTTCTTTTTTTTTTTTTTTCTTTTCTTTTTTTTCTTTTTTAATTTCACCAGCTAATGATTCTCTGTATAATTAATGCTGGCTGATGCTGCTAATTCCCTCCTTGCTGCTGTGGACACAGAGGGCTGAGGGCAGTGCCTGACCCCCCCCCACTGCCTCCAGGGAAGGGGGAGCTATAGGGAAGGGGCTCAGCCCTCTGTTTGCAATCAGTTATCAGTTGTTATCCACGTGCCATCCCTCTCCTGGGTGCATAACGATGCTCTCTGCTGACTCTGTGCTGGGAAGTGGGCTGGCTGTACCTCTGTCAAGTGTGATTACTTCGTTACACAGTGATGCAAACTGTCACCAGCCCAAAGAG